AACTTGGCATGTAGAACAAAATATATTTCAAACATGGGTAAGTCAATGTGTTTGTCAACAAACTCGATTGTAAATCAAATTTTATTGATCTCCCCAAATTTCCACAAGTTCCGAGTTCCGAGTTCTGGACCCCCGAAACCCAGCAGTCTGGGGGTCCAGGGGTCCGGAACTCGGAACTCGGCATGTAGAACAAAATATATTTCAAACATGGGTAAGTCAATGTGTTTGTCAATAAACTCGATTGTAAATCAAATTTTATTGATCTCCCCAAATTTCCACAAGTTCTGAGTTCCGGACCCTGAAACCTGGCAGTCTGGGGGTTCGGGGGTCCGGAACTCAGAACTCGGTATGTAGAACAAAATATATTTCAAACATGGGTAAGTCAATGTGTTTGTCAATAAACTCGATTGTAAATCAAATTTTATTGATCTCCCAAAATTTCCACAAGTTCCGAGTTCCGGACCCCCGAACCCTGAGACTGCCGGGTCTTGGGTTTCAGGGTTCAGGAACTTGGAACTCGGTATGTAGAACAAAATATATTTCAAACATGGGTAAGTCAATGTGTTTGTCAATAAACTCGATTGTAAATCAAATTTTATTGATCTCCCAAAATTTCCACAAGTTCCGAGTTCCGGACCCCCGAACCCTGAGACTGCCGGGTCTTGGGTTTCAGGGTTCAGGAACTTGGAACTCGGTATGTAGAACAAAATATATTTCAAACATGGGTAAGTCAATGTGTTTGTCAATAAACTCGATTGTAAATCAAATTTTATGGATCTCCCCAAATTTCCACAAGTTCTGAGTTCCGGACCCCCGAAACCTGAGACTGCCGGGTCTCGGATTTCAGGGTTCGGGAGTCCAGAACTCGGAACTCGGTATTTGTAAACAAAATATATTTCAAACATGGGTAAGTCAACATGTTTGTCAATCAACTTGATTGTAAATCAAATTTTATTGATCTCCCCAAATTCCGAGTTCCGAGTTCCGGGACCCCCGAACCCCGAAACCTGAGACCTGGCAGTCTTGGGTTTTGGGATTCAGGGGTTGGTACATCTCGGTTTGGGGTTTGGCACTGAAAATTTGACATATATATTTTTGTGAGTGTTGTGCTTCTGGTGTCCATGCTTATAAATAGGATATGTTGCACACCAGGGTTCAGGTGTGGGGTTTTTCCACTTCAGTCCTCGATTATTGGTCAATGCCACACATGGTCGATTCATGTTTTTGTGCTTAGGGGTTTAGATTTGGTGGTCAATGGTAGGTATATGCACTCATAGTGTACATGTATCCTACGTGTTTGATTTGCTGGTGGCTACATCAGCTGTATGTCTTGATGGAACATATCTAGGCTCACCCATATATGTACCCATCTGTGTACAATTCCCCCATGTCAGCCCACCCATCTATGCATTATCCCCCACCTTGGCCCACCCGTCTATGTAATACATCCTATGTTGGCCCATCCGTCTATATAATACATCCTACGTCGGCCCACCCGTCTATATAGTTATACCCCACCTCAGCCCACCTGTCTATGTAATAAATATTTTATCACACCCTCGGCCCACCCATCTATTTGATATCCCTTTCGTCAGCCCACCTGTATATGTAATACTTTTCACGTCGGCCCACTTGTATATGTAATACACCCCACGTCAGCCCACCCATCTATGTAATATTCCCCTACCTAGGCCCACCCATATATGTAATACACCCCTGTTGGCCCGCCTGTCTATATAACAATATTTGCCTTACATCTCTCTTCAGCCCAGCTGTCTATAATATCCTACTCTACATATTACCCAGATGGGCCCACCCATCTCCATGAATGATCATATTCCCCCGGCCCATCTGTCAACATCAAGGATATATATATCATTGGCATACATGGGCCCACCTGTCTCCATCGGAAATAATATGTGTCCCGGCCCATCCGTCATCATCAAGAATATACACAACATGGGCCCATGATCCGCTGGCCCATCTCATACGGGATATTATGGAGGTCGGGTGGCCCGTATAATATGGAATTTGTCACTGAAGGGGCTCCCTGGACTTGCACAAGGTGACCAGGGAACAGTTGTGTGCCATTCAATACTGCATTCATTAAGAACTCATATCTTTCTGCAGTATGATATCCTTGACACTTTCCAGTGGCGCTTGACTTCAATATTAAAAAGGTGAGCATTGCCAGGTGCAACAACGGTATGTAATGAAAACAAGTAAAGACAGTAATATGATTATGAGCGTCAGGATCCGATACCTATCAATCGGATATAGTTGAAAGCTCACTGCAGAGCTCAACGCATGCATCTGCATCGACCGGCAAAACTGCAGGATCTGGAGTTTCAGCAATGTTTGCAGCAGATGCAGAAGTCCTGACATGGCCGTGGACACCCGTCAAAACGGATGCATCCCACGTGTGAGTCCACTGTCTACCAATGGCAGAGATGTTCGGGTTGTTGTTGTGATTAGCTAGCCAAGCTAGAAGGTGCACATTCCCATGGTGAGGGGGAGCATACGCAGTGGTGTCGATCCGAGGACGGTGTGTGGTCAGATCATCCATATGATCCCGAAGGGACATGGTTAAATGTCCGAGTGATGACGATGTTGCTTTCCATTCTGAATCCGAGTATCTGAGTTTTTTCTCCAGTACATCCAACCGCTGCCCAACCACCTCTTCCACCGAATCGAGTCGTTCTTCCAAATTATCAACCCTGTCATTAGTAGCAAGACCATCAAGTCGCCTGCCCAGGTCTTGAATGCTCTGTAGGATGTCCCTTGCAGTTGGCTCACATTCTGCAGGATTCACAAGTGCTACTTGTCCTTGGGGCTCGACGGACATGGATGAGCCCATTGTTGGGATTGGCGGTACCTCTGTTTGAGCCGGCACGACATCCATGTACTTCAGCTCACTCACCAAGGCCAAATCTGAAGCTGCTTAAGTTTTCTGTACCATCGGTGGCACAGCAACACTCACCTTCACGTTCTACTATGTCATCCTCAACTACAGACAATGACCGATTGGGCGGCATGGGCATCTTCTGGGACCTGGTATTAACCACCGTCTTGTTAATAACTTGGGACTTCGGAGCACACAACTTGGAGCATCTGGTAGGATTGGCAATTGCCTCGGCTGCCATGGCCTTGGCTTTCGCTTGCATTCTCTCCCAGACACCAACTCCATTGATCGCACATGTGACCTTCATTTCATCACAATTAGTGCTGGCAAGTTGAATGCATCCAAATTTCTTATCTGGAAGGACAAGACAGGCCACCCCCAATTTGCTACACTTATCACACTTCTGTGGGTGGTGACGAACAAAAACTTTGCATGTTTTAGCTTAGAATGGTATGCACAAATAGACTGGTTTACCTCTGCTGCCATGGCGATAGCAGAATCCCTATCCCATTCAACGGGCTATCAATATCAAAGTCAGAATCGGTGGTAGGTGGAATGAAGTCAACACACCCTGGTCTCCACATCCCAGAAACCTCTCTCATCAGCCATCTTGGTCGAATCTGAACGTTCCGGTGCCACATTCTTATCAGTGGGAACATGTAAGAATCTGGTGGGTCACCAGTGCCTGAGCTAGGATAATGGGACTTACCTCTATGACAGAGGCGATGTCAGTATGCTCATTCCGCTCGTCACCCGATACATGCTTGCTCCTCTTCTGACTCGACTTGCCCAACCAGGATGGAGCACTCGGTATGTTCCCCAATTTCACCTCTTCTGCGCCGTTATCTTCCACCTTCCTCTTCTTCCTGTTTCCAGCCTTTGGTGCTGTCTTCTCCGCGTTCTTTGTCCCTGGCACAAATAGGTTATATTTGGAGGGGATAGAAACTGCAGACATGGGAAGCGGGGTCAGAGGTTCCAGCGCCATTGAGGTGGGAGAAGGCGATGGCGGTGCAATTGCCTGTGAAGGACTATTGACAAAGTCCCTATCTATGGGAAGAGGAGACAAGGTGGGTGGAGGCGCTATGGCCAATGGTGCAAAATGGACTGCCGCAGGAGTTCCGGACGATGTTACCAGTTCAGAATACAAAAGAATGGGAATCTCATCGGCTGCATGAGAGCGGTAGTTTAGCATCTTGTTGAACCGCAGGTGACCCTTGATTCTTGGATCATTGTCTATCACAGATGTCCAATCTGGCATTGTCTGAACAGCGCCAGCATTTGAGCACTCTCGCACAACAGCAGTGCATGACAGTAGCTGTGGGGAAAAGGATGTCGCATTCCCTCCATGAAGTTTTAAGTCTTTCGCCTATGGCGAATGTGTTAATATTGATGACATAATGAAGTGCAAGCAAGAAAAAGTACTCACCATGCGTCTGGCAATCTCATCTAAGATTCTGAGGACCTCTGGATGACCAGACTCCAACAACATGCACCGCTTGATCAGCAATTGCATGGCCGCCAGTGTAGTATCCAGCGCTTTGTTAGCTGTATCAGCGGGTGTCATGATGAAATTAAAAAAATAAAGTGTTGTAGGTTAATGGGTGTTATAGTATAATGGAAGGAACAAAAAGTGGACTTTGAAAAACTTGCACATGGGTTGGGATTTATATTCATGAGTCTGTTGTGGCTCTTTCTGAGTGCTGTTGATCCACAATCCATGGATTTCATTATGACGTAATAGTATGCCACATCTACCATTGTTCCACTACATTGAGTTACCACAGTGGCACCGGTCGATTTGTATTGCAATCATCATCGACTCCCTTTTTCGAACCAGACTATCATGACCTTCAAAAAGTTAGGTTTCTTACTCCTGAACAGCCATATCTTGGTGATATCGCCTCCACCTGCTCTACCTACAGCAGCCATGCCAGCGAAGACGGTCCAGTAGCGCTAGGGCGTGCTTCTGATAAGGGTCTCATCGACTGGTTGGGCTCTTACGTCCCATTGGAGTTGTGGACTCCTCCTGCATTGTTGAGGAAACCCAGGATGAAAGGAGTTGTCGGATTGGAAAACTATCCGAAGTTTAAAAGTAAAAATGGCTTTTCTTAGCCGGAATACTAACAATGGTGCAACAACAGAATACAACTTGACACAAGAGTTTCCTACCGACCAAGAAAAGATGGATGATTTGTTCGCACAAAGGGATCAAGGTGAGTTCGTTCATTCGAGAGCAATGATTTTCACTCACCGGACAATGTATCATAGTATACGACCTTTGTTTCAACGGCCACTTTGACGAGATAGGGAGTATGCTTGCCAGTGAGTCTCCCATTAGCCCAAAGGTTCTTTCCTCACTCAACAAATGGTGCAAGACATGTATGCTATGGAATGCCGGCAAACATTCGTAAATGTTGCCTGAACTTTATGTAGAGCATTGGCCAAGTTTGCTAGAAGACAATGAAACAAATGTCTTCGAACATGCAGAACACTCTATGAGGTCTGTGATCCGAATCTTGCATGACATTTGGCCTAACAATAGTAAGTGTTCAGATTTTAGAGCAACTGCCATTGACATCTTCAGTAGTTCATCACAATGCAAATGGCATTGCAACAACTGCCGGGCATGTCCTCGACCCCATGTTGATACCGACCTCCTTCAGGACTCAAGGCAGTATCGGGGCTCACATGGAGGCAAGAAATAGAGTGGCAGAACTGGGTGAGGACATTGCAACTGTCCACCATTTACTCAACGTCCACCGCCGCATTATGACACAGCTGGATGTCATGATAGCAAACTGTGCAAAGTGACCTGCCCATGTAGATAATATATCATGTCCCGAGAAACAAATAAATGTAGTATATATTTATATCACCATGTATGTACATATGTATGTATGAAGGCTGAGAGGGCCAAATAACCGCTCAAGTTCCCTCATGTGTAAGTGGATAATCACGATCTCAGATATATATATGTATTACAGGAAGGAGGTGTAATGGATTCAAATAAATCATAGTCAAACTTGGCTTGACAAACCAAGCATACTGACCGCACCATCTTGGAAGCTATGACAACAGCAACGTTGGAATTCCAACCGATGATGAAATTGTATGGTCAGCAACATTGTGATATCCTCAAATTTATACATGTGTAAAACATATGGATATAGCAGGTACACAAAAGGGATTCATAAACACTCAGCACGATTATGTCCAGTACTGAATAAAATCAGCCTGATTGTATCTGGCAAGGTGGTACATCATGAAGTCGGCCAAACTGTACTTTGCATACTCTGTACATGGAGTTTGAGCATGGTTATGCATGCTATCCCACATAAACCAGGCCCATATAATTCTATCGCCCTCACTAACCTGGATGCCGTGCCTCACAAGTCGGCCAGAATAGCTGACCATGACGCCCGGATTATAAGCTAGATCTATTCCTAAATTTGTCAGATTCATGACTGCGTTGTCATAGCTTCCGATCAAAGTAAGAATGTCAAATCCTTCCAGGGGGTATTTGAGATCATGATGACATGGTGTGTCTCTGTTGCATACAACAGCGGCACCGGTATATGCCGACGCCCAATGTTGCAAACAGCGGTACATCTCATCTTGCCCTTGCTCCGCTGCCCAAAGCCCAAGTTTAATATGAGGGGACATCAAGGCCCGGTACAATTGTGGATGCATCACCTGAAGGGCAGCAGATGACAGGAAAGCCAGCTGCTGTATATCCATAATTGAAGAGAGATTGCAATTGCCTTTTAGGGTACCCGAAACTTCCGGTATGAACTGTTTTCCGGGATCCTGAGATGGTGGGCCTTGACACTACTGTCGTTAAGGATGACGTGATTACAGCAAAACTTGTGCTCACCTCCCACCCCTGTTGGAACCAGCAGGGAGAAATATTGATGCACCCAGGAATCAAACCAGGTTCCATGGCTGCGTGGAAGTTGGAATAGTTGGTCCACCATTTGCTTGTCCTTCCGGTTGACTCCTTTCCAGTGGTGATGCTTTTTCGCAACAAGTCCCCCATACCAACTGTGGCAATGAACCCCAGAGACCAATTCAACACACCCGGGAGATATCATAGAATGATCTGGTAACTGGCGTCAATCACCACCAATGGGCTATCTAAGAACATGCATTCGGCAGGAGGAAACTTTGCCAACAATACTTCTTCACGAGCATCATTCAACCCTGACTCCTGTTTGGCCAAGGCCTCATTGTACCTAATGATATTGATATCCAATTTGACTACATCTGTCAGAGCAGAGTAGCAATAGTCAATGCCTGAACTCACTGGGATGTTGATATGCTTCCGCCAGCACAAAGGCTAGGTGTCCACAAGCAAGCGCAGTTTCAGGATCGAGTTCTGGAGGTGTAGGAACAAGAGGTCTCCCGGCAACATGCATGGCGAACTGCTGCTCTACCCATTCACTTGCTATGTCGACGGCATTCAGAGCCCAATCCTGTGGAATGAATGATGTTGCGTGAGTATGTAGATCACTCTCAGCCAGCTATTCATAGTAGGTCATCCAATACTCATTGGATATCATGGTGGGGAGGCACAGTAAGTGCTGCAAGCACAGCTGGCATCTTATACGGATAATGTCCAACTTATGGTTGTCTTTATGATGTAAAATATCACACTCCTCAATATTATTAATAGCAAACACGAGGCATCCAGGTGTATAGGAACAGCACGTGTCATCCCATTGTAACATTTTCATAGATGCCAGAGACAGGCTATATAATATTTACATACAAACAAATCACTTCACTACACATAAAATTCGCTTCCGTGACTATTTACATAATGGCTCTGCGTCAGCATACAAAGGGATGTAACTCAGGGAATGGATCTCCACGAGGGGATGTTTCTATCTGACCATTGTTGTAATCCTGCTCCAATACGGCTGCGGCCACATGGGACACTGCTATTGCATCACAGACCTCGTTTACTGGCTGCTCCAGCCAATTCATTGCATCCACCACTGCTCCAGTGGCCTCAAGCTTACTGACAAGGAGTTAGCCAAGGTCGAGACCGAGTCGGGTGACTTCAGTCCGGAGCACTTGAAGTTGTTGAAGCAGCAGGTCCTCACTGCATGGGTGGATGATTGGTTCAGGCATCATCAACCCCAGGGCAGGCTGATTATTTGTGCATAAAAATCAGCATCTATGCTGAATTATATTCAGGATCACTTAGACCAGCCACAGGCTGCCAGGATGTCAGGACCTGAGCTGTCTGCTTGGTCTGTTTTCTGTCAATGAATGCTTGCAAACCGCTATAATTCAATTGTAAGCAGAAAACAAAAACAAAAAACACTCGGTTGAAGTACATACCTGAAGTCTCATATTATACATTGGTCAGATGTGTCGCCAGAACTTACTGCTTCTGAACCTCCACTCAAGGTCTGTATGCCAGCATCTTCGGTAACAAATGTGCACATATCGTTCAGATATTTCCTGCAGAAGAAAAAGAGGATTCCTACCCAAACTTAAGAGTGGATACAGGTGAATTTACAACATGCTCATAGGGGATTGATGGTGGGTAGTATGTCTCAAAGGATGCCTCACTTCAAAATACACTGAAGAAGTAAAGTGTTAGTTGAAAAAAAGTCGTGTTAGCAATCTCGCTGGCCTGATTCTCGCACTAACCTTCACTCGTAGGACCAATATTAGAGTTAGGAAACCTGGGGGAGACAGAAATCAATGATTGAAATCAATATAATGACAGATATAGCGCAAGTGAAAACTAGGTAGTGGTACATGATGTGATAGTGGTGAGATTGCGAGGGAGGTAGGAAAAATGTCAGTGATAGAGAGCAGCAACATCAGGAACATCATCACATTCTTCTGCTGCTATAGCTTTCAGAAGAGCATCATGCTCGGAATCATGACTGCTGCCAGTACTTCTTGCAGCCGACAAAGATGTGTGCTGGCATGTGTCATCTGATTCCAGCATGCACTGTATTTGAGTATAATACTCCATTTCCTGCTCTGATGCTGACCATCCTTTTGTAAAGTCAAGTCATTATTTGTTCAGCAAAAATTTAAGCATCTGGAGGATCTCTACCATAGCAGGGCTGAGGCGATTACACTTTTTGGTACACATCTCGCTGCTTGATGAAAAAATGTGTTTGCAGGGAACAGTGGAGGCTTGGATTGGGAGATAATCCATTGTGAGGTTGTAGATGGTGGGAAAGAGGGTTTTTGAGCTCTGGTCGACATGCAATCAATAAGGAATGGAAGTGAGTGACTCAACATAAAAATGCACGTTCCAAAATGCGAGCAGGTCAGTTCCTTGAGGGCTGACATGAGATGTACTATATGCGTTAAATTCCTCGTCAACTGTTTGAACACCAAGATGCTGATGCGGCAGCAAGTCAATGTCTAGAATATCATAAATTTGTGCACCTAAGGTTGCAGTGCATAGTTGGTGAGCAGGCAATTCTACCAGTGGATGTTGAGTAGAGCTGGTTCTCTTCTCCCGCAGCTGTAGGACACGTTAGGTTAAATATGCACCGTTCAAGTCAAGGGAGACGTACCAGTCACTTGATAGAGTCTCTGGCAATATTAGCGCGTTCTTTGCCCCAGTGACCATCAATCCATGATAAATGCAAGCTAGGGTCAATGACTATACAAAAAGATCATGAGAAATGAAATTGTATCAAGACTGAACTCACACATTGCAATGGCATACACATTCGTCTGACTCATCTTGTGACCATACTTCTCCGCCCAGGCTAAGCCTATATTAATCATGGGCGCACAGTGCATGGCGATCCGGGCCACCCCTTCCCACTGCTCCATCAGACGTTCTAAGGCAGAGACTGCACCGCTTAGCATAGGTGTACTTTCTCCGGACATTGATTGTTGGCAAGCATGGGGTGCCTGACATAAATTAAAACACATCGTGGGCTTCAGCAACATCAACACTGACCTCTAAAATCACTTCAAGGTCTTGCAAGACCATCCGCTCCATTGGACTCAACCCATGTTTGGATAAGCTAATTTCAGTCACAAGATAGCAATCAATAGCCTGGGGCACTGTGAGTTTGCAATGAATGTTATGTGAGACAAAGTCTTACCGGGCAAAGCGTTCGGAGATGATTGAGCATGACATATGTCAAATCCCATCGAGTAGGTTCATCGCATAGAAGTTCGAGGACTGGAAGCTTTCCTCCTGGAAAGAAATTTCCCTGGTTGCCAATTGAGATAGCATTCCAGAAGGCTTCGCATCGCTGGCCTGATGTGTGGATCACACGCACAAGATTCTTACCCTGCTTGACAGGTTTGAGTTTCAGGGCTTCCAAATACCCCTCCTTTTTGACGGTGATACCACAAGCTAGCCACTCGGTAGGCACTGTTGAAAAATCTACGGAATGGTAAGCAGTGATGAAGTGTTGAATGCATATGTTGATTATATGTGGGAAACATGGGATTTTGTGATCAATGGGATCAAACTCGATGCCACATGCTGACAGCAGATGAGAAAGCTCGACCATGGCAGTCTGGTTATTTGATGCATTATCTAAAGTAAAATGACCGATCTAGACTAAGTCAGAATATGTTACATGGGTGGGGTCAATCACTAACCTTATCTGTCACTTTTGCGTGATTGAGGAGCCCTAATATGACTACAGCGAGCGATGCCCCATCATGAGAACTAGGAATATAGCTAACAGCTAGAAGGCCAGCCTTGAGAACGAGCTTTGATGCATGTAGGGCGATCCAGTGAGCCATCAATGCAATGAATGGACGTCGGGACTCATCTGACCAGAGGTCAGAGGTAAACAATATCTTTCCTTCTGCTTTCTGGGAGAATGTAAGATAACTTGCAAGATAAAATAGTCGTACACTTATGGCCAGATATTGCTTTAAAACATCGAAATATTGATACCACATTTTGACTATCAACTCACGTAGCTTCGTCTGGTGAGGAATGTCGCACTCCTGTAGATCTTTCCACAGAAGTAGAAGTAACTGACGGAACTCAGGGCATTCTATTACATTCATCGCCTAAAGACAATCAATAAATGTTATATAGAGTAAATAAGTACTCACCTGGTCATCAACCACAATGAATTTTACGAGTTGCCTATGCATCTCCTCAATGGTAAAATCCAGTATCTCATCTGCAAGTGCTGACACCCCTATCGTGAGTTGTGAACCAAGACGCCCACCACCAGGGGGGGAACCAAACAACTCAAGAAGTTTGTCTGGGTTCTGGTCAAGCTCTTGACCTATCTGTGCGAGAGTCCACCCTATATGGAGAAGATCTCGAACTTCTTTCACCCCAACTTTAAGATTGTGTTGCTTGAGGGCGGTTATGTAAACATGCAGGTGACCGCGAAGAGTGCCTGTGGTAGTCGACAAGCCGTATTCGGCAATATTGTGTGATGGATCTTCTTCTTTCTATATGTCCCTGGCGAACAACATGAGAAAGAGAAAAATAAAAAGACTCAGAGATAATACTTACACACAGGGTGTACATATGCGCTGCCCTGACATTGTGTCTTTGGTGAAAGAATGGTGCACCTCTGATGCTACCTGTTTTGTTCGACGTCCCATGGCTAACAGATTGGATCGAGTTGAATTGGTACCTGCCTGTGTTTGAAGTGGGCTTGGGACTGTGCGGACTGCCTCTACTGGGGTGAGCAGGTTGCCGTCCTCTTCTTCATTGACATCGTCAACAACATCAAGATCGATGAACTCACCATTGTCTGCCACACAGCTTGGACCAGCCCTGCAAGCTGTACTGCCTCAAAGCCTGGTGGCAGGCCATTGATTTCTGCGAGGATTCTGAAGAGTTGCAGTCACTGCAACATGGGGAGCTGCAGTGAGGGTGGATGAAGTGGGGGGAGCTGCAGGGAGGGTGGGTGCAGCAGGGGGAGCTGCAGCAACAGGGGATAAAGTCTGGGGTGTGTTTACGGGGGGAGCTACAGTGGCAGGGGATGAAGTCTAGGGTGTATTGAGAGCACATTGTCGAGGTGGCATGGTCATGAATGTTGCGAATCCAGTGAGTGAATTACTGTTCTATATAAATAGTTGTTCTGTGAGTCCCAGAAAATGCAGCAGCAAAATACTGACTCACCTGATCGTAAAGGCCAAAGAATGGTCCGCATACATGTAATCGTCTCTCAAGTCTCAACAATCCAAGGGTATGTCAACTGCCGTAGATTAGCAAAGTGAGATGCGGCTAGAGCCTCAAGGCTCATGGGGTCCTGGGCATCAAACAACCCAAAAATGTTGCCTAACATGCGGTACCCTGGATATGTGCCTGGAAAGCTATTCCAAAAGAATGAATTAGCCGCTAGGAGTTTTTGAAATGTGAGTCGGAAGTACCATACCTGTACATACATCGTTCGGGGGGTAGAAAATGGAGGTTTCCGATCTTCGAGCCTTGTGCAATCATGATTCATGAGGCATGCACGCCTTCTGACTGCGCCGGTTTTATGATAAGTAATATCGGTTGGATAGATCAAATGGAAGTACGAACCTGAACTGTAATCCCCCCATTAGCTGAGCAACTCAATTGAATTGACAGTCTGTTGGCACAAGATCTCCAATGCGGCATGCTGTAGTTTTTGAATGTAGCCTAGTAGAGTAGATCAGAGATTAGAGATCCCAGTGAATAAATGGCTATCATTATTACCTGAAAGTTGTTGTGCATTCAATTTTGGCTCCAAGTGAGTCATAATGAGTCAAGTCAGCGATCATGCGGCCAATTTTCAGATGAAGTTAGTAAAGACAAGATGATGGTAGGAATCAAAATCAGAACTTCAGTAAAGCTCGAAAAACACACGGTTGACAGCAGCTGAGTAATACTCGGCATGATGTCAGACATTGGACATTGGACATTGGACATCAGACATTCAAGGGCATGTGATATGCAATGCAGGGAAGGTCATACATTAGTAGAGTAGAATACAAAACCATGTCATATAATGAGTACCTAGTACCTAATAGATCCCTCAGTGACCTTCACATTTCAACTGACAGAAATAAACAAATTTGTAAAAAAAAACCATGTCCCTGAGGGATGGTCAGTGCTGGGGAGGACGAGAGAGGAGGCTAAGCAGCAGGAGACGAGAGAGGAGGCAAAGACTCATCGCAGGGAATGATGGCAAAAAGATCAGGCAAGATCATGCCAAGGTATCAAATGTTCCATTATGGAAAGTGTCTCTGCATGTTTCATGATGGTGGCCAAGAAGGTGAGCATGACTGGGAGATAAGGATTGAGATACGCACAATATAAGTGGCGGGGGAGGGGACACCATCTTTGAGGTTCTTACCGGCAAAAATAAGACGCTGGTGACTGGTCAGGTGGGTCTGATAAGGCTAGAATAGAACTAGAGAAGGATAAACTTAGTAAACAAAGAAGGCACAAGAAAGGAACAAGGAAACACTCACCTTGTGCACATGGCCATGTTACCTGATGGGCCCTAATACAAGGAGTGGGATTTATGGACCTCATGTTCATATCAACATGCCACGTGACATGTTCGAACATTTTTTTCTGTGAATTACAGTAAGAGGTGGAGTGCACACATGAGGTGGACATGAATTGGTTCTGCACCATCAAATGTTCCAGCCTGTTACTAGAATACATGTTCCCTGTACACAAACTCATCTACATAAAATATTTGCTCATGTCTCAGGTACCAAAAAGAGTGAACTATTGAATGATATAGTACGTAACTAGGTCTTTTTATGCTGTGGTATCTTGGAAGCAGTTACAGGCATGGGGCAACCATTATGTGGGCATAAACTTGAAGGCTCGAGTTAATGAGTATGTAAAGAATGAACACGAACTACTCACACATGACGAGTTGATCTGCGAAGAGGTGTTGTCTTCAGTTGACACAGAGGCACCTCCTTGGCCACTGAGTGCTCTTTCGGGATGGAGGAGGATGTGATTGGACTGACCGAGATCCAGTGAGCATGTAGCTGGTGCAGGTGTCATGGCATGAACATCACGGAGCAATAATCTAAGATAATCATAGTCGGGATCCTCAGAGAATGCAAGATTGCGCGAATAAATCAGCATAGTGGTGACCTCAGGAGGAATTCCAAGACATAAATCTTCAATGGTGGTGTCCACCTTGCGTGCCAGTATAGAAGAAGTGGGAAGCTTCTCGTGGTCACTAGTAAACCATGGAAGGGAGCCGTGCAAGAAGTAAATCAACATGTATATAAGTGACTCGAGATCGTCACGATGACCAGGCACAACTCCTAGGTGGTTATTGATCGAAGCGAACACGGGAGTGCCAGTAAGATGTCCACCATGGCGAAATGGCATATGTGCTTGGGTGGTAGTGTTCCAGTACTCTTTCGCAACATCAAATCGACAATAAAAATGGTTTGCTCTAAGTCTCCACGACCGACAAGGACATTTTGCGGTTTTATATCGCTGTGAACGTAGTTGTGTGAGTAAATGTGCTCTAGAGATAAGAGCTGGGAAACATATTAGCATCTGCCAGTGCCAGGACACCATAAACAAAACTTACTAATTGGTCTCTGAAATTCAGGACGGTATGAAGGCTGAATTTTCGATTGTGCATGATAAAAAGGTCATGCAGTGATGGCCCAAGGAGATTGAGAACTAGAGCATGAAATGTTGCCTCTCTACTGAACCACACAGCACGCGGAATCCCAGCTCCTCCTTCAAGATGTTTCAAAATACGATATTCGTGCTCTAAAGAGGATGCATTGTTGATGAGACGCTCAAGTTTGATGGCAAGGTCATCATCATTTATAATGTTCCGTGCACGATACACAACACCTAGTACATGTTAAATTCAATTTCAACATATAAATTGTACATGTAAACAACATATTACATACCATACAAGCCAGATCCTAAGATGTCTCCCAACCTAAATCTGCCATCAACCCAAATTGGGACCTTGTTCATTGTACAGTAAGATATTTGAAGAGTTATTAGACAGAAACAAGTTTGAAACGACAGAAGAGGTTGTGGCATTGTGTGCACAAGTTGGTTGGAGCCTGGTTCAACCGGCTCAAGCTGCCTTTCACACACAATGGGCTTGAAGTTGGTTCGTGCAGCTAGCTGAGGTGAACCGAGCCGAAAAATCAAGTGAGCCTACCTACTGCTAACCGAACTGCCGCATAACCAATAAAAGCCAAAGCCGAACCAGCCATAGCCAAGCCACCCCATTACTAGTTCTGCTCTGTCATCTGGGCGATATGGACAGCAGTGAATGTGGAGGTGGTGTATTCAAACACATGGGCTGCATCCCAAATGGACAATGCGCTGATGCAAGACTCGGAGAGTGCAGGAATCTGGTCGGTCATGATTTCTGATATGATAACAACAGTAGGGAAATACAACCGGGCCTGACCTCCTGGTTTATATGTGTTGTTGGAGATTCAAAATCCACATCTGGTAATGTAATTCATAATGACCAGTTTCCATTGTTCAAATGATTGTGCCTGGACCGGTAGATCTAATGCATTGAATGACATATATTATTTATACTACGATCAATTGATGATACTATACATTCAACAATCAAGCATTTATCGTGAACTTTGGATTTGCCTTTAGAAAACTTGCACATGCATGTTCAGCCAATTCATGGTACATGTGGGCCTGCTGAATTGCATAACATTTGTGCCCTTCTGGAAGTGGATCGCCATTATGGGTGATGCATGACAACCATGAGCATGCCTTGTGGAGGAAGAACTGCACAGTCCAACCCATTTCATGGTCAACCAGTAGCAGTTCTTCCGACCACCGATCACGCAATGCTTTTGTGCGAAGCCAATGAACCCTGTAAACTGTGCCCTGTCATTGATGGGTTAATATAATAAGTGAACAGTCACAGACATTCATTTATCCAATCACTGCTGACAGAATCTCCCTGAACATCAAGAGACCAGAACCATGGAAGCATGGTGTTTCTTTGTCCCCAAGCATTAGGACTGGCTACAGCAGCAGTAGCTTTGAGATGACTTCTCTCCATCCGGAGATATTTCTCTAAGAGGTTGTGAGCTTGTAGATTGCCGAGTTGTGCCCGGCATTTTGAATAAATCATTGTTTGCCGTTTGATGACCCTTTCCACCGAATGTACCTGAGTCCACGCCCTGGTTGACTTTGCCTGGGATTTGGCCGGATGAACTGTGGTGCAGAAGAGCACAGCCTTATCAGCTAGCAGAACTTGGATTGCTTGCAGGGTGTCATTGGCCTGCCCTTCCCAAAGTGCAACTTCCTGACCCACAAGGTGGATGACGCCCAGCTCAGTACACCTTTTGATCCCAATATTCAATGGGAGAGGTATAACCACCTTCTCAGGATGGAAGAAATTGCATTGAGGGACATGGTTGGAATCATGGTCACTCTCAGTAAACATGTCTCCTTCGCCCTCTGAATCATCTATAAATTCAACCTCGAGATCTCTGATATTGTCATCCAGACCAAAGTCTTCTCTGAAAATGAGTAACTGCCGTGGTTGTAAATTCATCTATCCGACTTTGCAGCTTTGTACAATGTCTCACTATCTCCAGGCGCTGCATTTTGGTGGAGTGTTTTCCCAACCTCCGGATGTCGATCAAGAGAGATATTTGCAGCTCTTCTATAGTGATACTGGATGTGATCCATGTAGCAGCACCGCGCTTTGCATGCCCTCCTCTGTTACCGGTCCGAGAAGACAGTAAAGCCAACTCTTGCTGTTTTCTCATTGGTGCTATCAAAATTTGATCACTGATGGTGCAGATCGGACATATATCTGCTGTGACTCACCCTTTTGCAGCTGGACGTCGAATATGTCCATTGCCGATGGATCCGTGCTTCAATGCAATTGTGCTTCTTGATCTTGTTCCACCCATGCTTCGACCATGGCAGGATCCGCGGTTTCATTGAGCTTCTCAAATGCTGTCATGCTTTCGGACACTCCCTTCACTGCTTCTCAATATTTCCAACATAGGAAACCACCTGGAGAGTGTTAGTATTAAATATGTAAGGAAGAATATATCTCAACTCATTCTGATCATTTTCATAAAATTTGAGCCATTCATTTGGTAATCATGACATTCCTGTCGATGGGGAATGGACATCCCTCTCGCAGAGGGAGATATGATATTCAGGGGCGCCCACAATGTCTTCATGATCTCCCCGTTGATCCTGGCTGCCCCTGTGATGAAGGTGGATGCATACCGGACATAGCATTTGTCCTGATGACCATGGACATGCCAAAGTCCTATTCCCAGAACAATCTCCATACTGCCCAGAATGTTCAAGTGTGAACTGTCATTTACCCTGCACTGCAAATATTTGTTATATTGGTAATTAATGTCATAAAATGTCAAAGCTCGACTGAGTCCATTGGTATTATGGCTCAAAGCGTGACATAGAGCATAGTCCATGTTCATGTGTCTAATCTCCGATGTGAGGTTTAATGATAATGAGTGGCATGCATGATCTTACCTTTCGCCTTTCTGAAAATAAACAATAGAATGGGGGACGAAACAGCCATGTCGAGCACATGCACAACCGCCTATTCCTGTAGCTTCCAGTTTGTGTTGGGAAGCATTTGCTTGATTTACAGCCTGATGGTTGTTACATTCCGACATGTGCACATTTTCTTTGGCACCAGCAAGATGCATCTTGTATTGTTCTCTGGTCACCATGAAACACCTTCCATCAGTCAACCATACTTCATCTTCCAGACAAGTAGGATGGAGATGTTCTGCTTTAAAATTACCATCCATTACTAGTGATCTGGTGTATATACATTCTGGATGGTTGCTGTCTCTTTCGGATGGCTGTGGTGCATTGATACCAGGTTGTGGACAGGTGGGGCAAAACAGGGCAAGTTCACCTGGATCCGGAAGTCTTCTCTCGTGAGCAAAGCTGTTCAATTTTAGAAGTTTCAGTTGATGCCATTGCCTTCCAACCTGCATTAATTCCCTATACTGGTCCTGTCCGGAGGTCAGTTAATACGATGATGACCAACCAGCACCTCAGACATACAGGGACTAGATGCAGAAATGTGCTAGATGTCATTCTCCTTAATTTAGAGTAGAAATTCATAGCAGAAGTCCCACATTCCAGGTTGTCGAGGAGAAAACTATCCAGTACTGAAAACCTGAATGCTGATTTGGGCCAACTGAAACATGCCGGAAACATGCCCATTGCAAACAGCTGCCTGTCTGGGGTAGCGGCATTTGGGCATTTACAATACCTGATGAGGAGTGAATGGACTCCGGATTTGTTAACAACTGTTGTGCATTCTTTTGCATATAGAAATGGCAGTTCCGGTATTGCTGAGTAGTCAGAGGACAGTTCGCAAGTGGGCTCATCTAAGTCCTCCCATTCATGGATATCCTTGAGACACGGACATGGAAGCCCACTATGCCCCAGATGAAATTCCATATCGATCTTTGTCAATAATGTCACTTCAAAAAAGCTCCCGTTCCATTTGCTTATTTTGTGAAATGGCAATCGTCTATGCTCATCTTGACAGCATTTGATGCAAAACATGGGATCACTGAGGCAATTGTGGCACCGGTACACCACCGAATCTGTGTTGCATAACGAACAAGACTTGTTCGAAGATGGAGCCTCCCATTCTAGAAGGACTCGAAGGTAATTGTCCTTCCAAGCCATCTATTCCCGGAGATAATCGTTTGGGCTCTGAGGTCCTGGTCAGCCTTGAATGGGTGAAGAACGTAGAGTATCATACCTTGGTCTTTTTTTCGCTAACAACACGTTAAGCAAACCAATAGGGCCATGATCACTCCAGTCTGCATTATGGGAAGTGAAGTCGGGTGTGTACTGAGGGAGCGTCATACTGGAGCTTTGTTTTGTGGGAGACTTTGTTGGAGATGACTGTGTGGATTGACTTGGCTGGTGTTGTTTCACCGGACATCATTTGCCTTTCCGGCCCCGAGTGGTCTTTTTTACTTTCCATTCGACCAGCTGAACTGTTCTTGGAGGACTCGATATCCTTACCCTGGATTTACCCATGAACATGGTATGAAGTTGTGTGAAATATAGGACAGTAGAATTACAGCAGCAACCTCTGCTCACTTAATAGCTGACATGAAGGGAGGGCACATAACACTCTTATTACAGACATTTAAAAAACACACACTCACCATCACACCCAAGTACATCCTATCACTATCCTCCATAGTATATAATGTCTGATCATGACTCTGGCTCTGAATCTGAATCTAACAAACAGCCTGCATTAAATGAAGATGAGGTCACTATCCTGCAGTCCTACATTGAGCAATGGGATTCGGCTGAGGTATCGGACCGCAACAAGGTCTTGAAAGCAGCTGCAACCAAGGCTCGGACAAAGGCTCCAGTGATGGGTATACAACTGCTGAAAGATCACAAGGCGGTGAGTATTGTATCATTTTCAGCACCAAATAAGCTTTGATATTCGGTAGGTATATGAGACATGGTTCCAAAACTAAGGAATGAGGAAGAAGCCAGCTAAAACCCCTATCAAGATGGGGCAGAGATGGACCGAAAGAAGTGTTATAGACACCCTCCGGAAGAAAGAACTATTAAAAACAATACAAGACGAGACTGGAGCTAAGCCAGGGACGAAAGAAATGATCAACCATTACACCAAGCAGCTCAACCTCCTCATTGCATCCTTGTCCCCAGAAGAACTCAAAGAAGCCAAAGAGACGGCTGATATATGGAACTGTCAGGGTGTTCCGGATGACGTCAAGTCCGACATTGCCAGGAAAAAAAGCAATGACATGATTCATCATTTCGCAACTGAGATGTGGAACCGGGCAGGAATGAGGGTCTTTGTTGTGTCAGCTTGGAAAAATGAAGAGGGTAAGATTCATGTGGCCGGGTGAGTGATCCAATGAATGCAATCAGTAGCTTCTCACATTTCCGGCAGTCACGACTATAACAATGAATATGGTGGTGCCGATTCTATCATGAAGACTCGCAAATGGGATGCCATCCTGCTGGAATGGGATTCATATGCAGAGAGCGCATTTGGTAGAGTCCTAAACTGGCTTCTGTATAGTGGAGACTAACGAAAATCAGATGGTAACTTGGATGGCAATGCAGTTGCAACTCGCAAAAAAGGTCGACAGGACAAGACTTACATCCTTGATGTTGGAGGTGACAGATATCCCATGCTCCCTGCATGTGATTCTATGGATCTGGACACAAAGAAAGCTGTTGTGCGCGCATTTTTGACTTGGCATTACAGTAGGTTGCTGTTTGCCTCTTGGAAGTAATCTAACTGTTGAAAAGGAAAATGTTGTGGGGATCCAAAAATTTCAATCCCATGGAAGTATGTCACTCCTAGATGCGGCGAGATCATTCCGACAGAGTGCCTTCTGGAAGGACACAATCTCGCAGAGCCTTCAAAGTTAAGGCAGATCCATGCCACGGAACTGCTACAGTTCTGGTATAACCAACAGGAAGAGCGCGAAGAGCGCGTATTGGAATTTATTGGTTGGTGGGACAATGATAAAGAGGATATGGTGCTTGCTGCAGACATGGAAGTACCGATGACAACACCGAGACAGAATAAGAGAAAGCTCAAGGAGATGTCAGATCCGCCAAGGAAGCAGGCATGTCCACGGCAGCAGTCTCCAGCAGGACAATCACAATCTGGTATCAATGCTAAGACAAAAAGGGCTGTACAAGAGCCAGAAATGAACATCCGACATGGAACCGCCACTTCAGGTCGTGCACAAAAGAATCACAAGGTGAAGAGGACATCAAACAAAGAATCTGACAATGCACGAACTATCAGCGACAAGTCCCTTGCTGAACAATCCAATGGATCGGAGGATGATATTCCTAGTGGCCAAACAGCAATTGTGCCAAAATACCATAGTGGTTGCCCAGTCCTGATCCCTGGTAGCAATGACTCTGACAGCAAGGTTGAGGAAAATATTCATGAAAAGTCTGTTAAACCTGCACGAGGCAAAAAGGTTGCATTTCCGATCCAGGCCGCTGCTGTTGATGTGAGATAATCAAAGAAGGGTGCAGCAGTTGAGAAGCCAAGAGATGGCCCTCGGAAGCATGTGAAAAAGGGCCCTGACCCTGACTGTTCGGCATCCACCGTGACACGCAAAGCCATTGCACCAAGGCAGTGGATGACAGATCTACCGATGGAAGCCAGTAGATCATCTCATGAGCGCAATGATGCTGTGGTCAGCGTGAAAGCTCGAGGGCAGAAAAGGACTGCCGAAGAATGTTTGGAAGGATCTCCTGCTAAACGGAAAAGAAGTCAAGGAGTTCAACAGAATAAGTGGCTTCTATAGAGGCTAAGGAGAAGCCAAGGAAGAAACGGGTTGAAGAAGCTACCGATGGGTCACCCTCAAAATGGACAAGGAGTAAGACTTCACAACCTGCTGCAGGCAAGCGCTCCCAGAAGCCGAACTCTCAGTACAACAATTATGTGAAGCCCTAAGGCATTTCGGAGTGTTATGACACCCATGCCTTAGATGGCTTTCAATTTTGTGGAATGGATCTGGTAAGGTTTTATTGACTTTGAAGATAGACGTTTTCGAGTTGTTTGTATGTCCAGCCCCTTGTATTGCTCACTAGCTCATTTTACACCAACATTGAAAGTTATTTGGACTGATTATATACGGCAATTGAGTAAATGCATGTGAGGCTGCCGCTGCTCTATACTGGTGATCATGGCATCTAGTGGGTCCATTATCTGGCGGTGAATGTCGAGCAAATGGTGAATATTAATGACATCTGCACCAAGTTCGGTCACCTGATATTTTGCATCCGCGTATGCACCGAACAGACTTCAATTTGCCATGAATGTGATTGCTAGCTGAGGGTCAGGCACACGTGTGACCACTGGTGTGACAATGCTGTGTATGTATCAATCGACTGTCTCACGTGTAGGTCAGGCGTGATGGAGCTGCAAGATCAACATACTCACAGTCATTATGTCCTATGCTATTTAGTCGTTGGATAGCTTGATGCATGGACTCTTTGGCCTCCTCAAATGCATTGGGATCGGCTGGTGAAAAGGACCACCCTGTATATATCGGACATTAGCAAAGAATGCAGTGAGTCACATATGACTTACTTGAGGTGGCAGGTGAAGATGTAAGGTCTATAACTTCTCTCCCCTCTGGCAATGTCAGGTCAATGACATCAATTTCCTCTCTCATCTCAGACACTTCTGGTGGCTCCTTGATTGTTATGTTATCCATCAGATCATCCCACCCACAATCATAAAGATCCTCAGTGCTGTCCTTTTCAATGTCCGGAAGTGTGTTTTCCATATCAATGTCATCCACTTTGAATGAATTTAGTGAATCTGACCTAGACCAATCGGTGGGAATAATATGCTGATTTGCACGATAGTCCCCATGTTCATCGGAAGGATCCTGAAATATCTCGGCAGTTGTGGTCATCGCAAAGTCCTGCCGCCCGCATCCATATGTATAATCAGTGCTATCTCCCGGTGTTGTGGTTTTTTCTGGCAACACAGCATCATCCTCCCATCCGCAGTCGTGAGGATCAGCCATCAACAACTTTGAGAGAGCTGTCTCATGGACAACCAGATCATCCCACCCACACTCGTATGAATGATTTTCTGCCTGTCTCAGTTGACTAACCTTGTCAATAGAGTGCGACAATTGAGCCATATCATCTGTTGAATCATGGCCTTCCTGGCAGGAAGGTTGATTTATACCTTCATCCTGGCTTGGATTCAATCCTGTGAACCTGTCAGTTGGGATTGAAACAACAAAATGCCCACTAACTTTCTTCTGATGAGATATTCATTGGTGAGGCTTTGGTATCCATGGTATCCTCCCATCCATAATCATAAGGGTCTGCAGCAGCAGACTTATTTGGCGATACCGCCCTGTTCACCATCGGATCATCCCATTCGGACTCGTATAAATCATCTGCAGGTATAGGTTCCTGCAAAACTTCATTTCTCATTGAATTTGAGAATTCAGCCCAGTCTGCTTTGTGGTTGAGTAATCAAATGTTGGCTGCCAAGATAGTACTTGCCTTCCTCTGGTTCAACATTTTCTAATCCTATAACCTGGTTAGTAGAAGTGTGAAGAAGTACATAACCGACAAACTTTCTCCCGGCATTATGACTTCATTTGGAGCTGCAGTTTCGTCCTCCCATCCACAATCATAAGGATCAGGCATCGATAACTGATTTGAGGGTGCAATAGAACCATCCCATCCGCAATCATAGGGATCATCAATGAGAGTTGTGGAATCCGGAACCGGATCCATGGGATGCGGTGATGTCTGTGAATTTGGCGTATGTTCTATTTCATCAACACATGTTAGCATATTCCTGACAGCCAGGTTGTGCCAACCTTTGGATGTTGCATTTCCTAATAATATTAATATGGTCTATTCTCATGAGTTATTGAACAAACGCACCTTCTCCAGGCTTCGCAGCTTCTTCTGGCGCTGTGGTGCCATCCTCACATCTGCAATCATATGGATCGGGTGTGGAAAACTCGTGAATGGGAGCAGCTCCATCGACAGTCGGATCATCCCATCCGCAATCATAAGAATCTTGGAGAATTGTTGAATCCATCACCAGACTGATGGAATTTGGTGATGTCTGCAATTTAGCTGAATCTTCTGATTGATCAACATAAGTTAGCTTGATCCTGGCAGCCAGTGTGCTAACCTTCTGATGTTGCACCTCCTAATTCTATTCATAAGTTCAGTCACTGGACAAATCTAGTTTGTGCAGATAACTGACCATCAGGACCTTCAATTGTTCGGGAATGTTGGCCTCTTAAAAAGTTTGGGGTCCAGAGCAATTCAGTTACATACATGTCTAATACAATTTGTTAGACAAATGGATGAGGCATTTTCCATGCTCACTGGACAGCATGCTTGTGACTTCATCAAAGTCACCATTGAAACAAAGCTCTTATTCTGCAGACAAGGTTTGTTCAACCACGCCAGCAATCCAGCAAATGACTGACTTTTCTCTTTCTTTCCCATGGAATCACGCTGATATTCATAATAATGGGGAAGCTCGGCACAGAACTTATATACTTTAATGGGGATGTTTGCAGAATACTGGGCCAAATAGGGGTTATGGTGAACTTGCATTTATACACCAGATATGATTCCAGTCTGATGATTCCTTGAAATGTCGGAATGCTCTCTGGTTTGGGGGGAATCCATGACTCTAAAGGGACATAGGTGCCTCACCAATCGATCAGATCCTCCTCCAATGCGCAGCGGTCCTGTACCGGGGAGTCAGCAGGTGTAGAACACTGATATTGAGACTCGGTAGAATAGATGCTGGAGAGTTTGTCGTCAGCATATGAGAACACTTTGTCACCAGCATTTGACATAGTTGGAGTGGCACAATGAACATGTAGCTCAGATATGATCATATGTGTGAAAATGAAGTCGGAGAACATCATAATAAATATGCACCAAGATATACTGTGATATCTACGGCAATTGAGTACTTGGGACAATGATCGATAACAACCTTCTATTACGTGATAATTACATTAAATTGGTCCAGACTGCCATGCTTCTATGTTGGCCATGCTTTTCTCGGAAACACCCACCACCGACATATTGGTATAGATCCTGATATGGGTAAAATTTATCTGAGTCATTCCTTTTTCTCTTCCCCAGAGAGTTGCGCTGTTATCAACTCACCAACATTTTGCATCTAGTGCTATGACACCTTCCGAAGCAGATGCTGCTCTGAATGACACATTAGAGGATGTGCAATCACTTATAAAGTGATGTATGAAGTTGAAGGAGGGCAATTCAGTGGCTGGGTTGGCATTATCGGATGAGATTGCTAGACATGTGGTATGTCCGCTGCTGTTTATGCGGTGTTAATGTTGGTACTAACACAATTGGTTACAGGCAAAAGACTTAAAACTCTACGCAGGCCATGCAACATCATTCTCCCCCCAGCTGCTGTCATATGTGGCAGTCGTATGGCAGTATTCCAAGGCTGGCATCTTTCAAGCATTGCTGGACTGGACAACCATTGTCGACAATGATTCACGCATCAAGCATCATCCAAGATTCCACAAAACGGTAAATTATCGTCATGTCACCAGTTTTGGGGTCACAGAACCTGTTGCTTCTGGTTTGGCGGATGTGCAAGCTACCTCCTCAACACTGCCCTTTGATGCCACTCCGGAGGGCAGATCAATTGCTCATGTTCAAGACCCTGCCCTCACAAAGGATATCTTGAGCCCAGCCATACATGCACATGCATCTACCCCGGCAGCCTTGTTTTACCAGGTCCCGCCAACTCCTCCGCAAACAGTAATGACACCATTGGAACCTCTGACTCCTCTTTACCCTTCCACTGCAGCTGCACCAAGCAAGGACAATCCTAGTGTGACAGGAAACATGAAGACACAAGCAAAGACTGTTCGACAATCTGCCAAGGAGAAGAACAGACAAGTGGAAGACAATGCCACAAATAAAACTCACAGAACGCATAGACCAGCACCATGCCTATTATCCCGGAAATCTGCTCCCAAAAGGAAGAAGTTCATGTCAGATGATGAGGAGAACCGCCCGACCGGAAGCATACTCATCACCCGGAAGGTGCTACATCCTTCTTTTGCTGTTTGTACTTCTGACTTTAGCATAAATGTTGCAGCACACATTGTCGGCATCGACAGCAAGTGCAGTTGCAGGACTGGTCAATCCAATGCCCTCAGACATGGTCGATAAAGGTTTCTGGGATGCAGACACCAGGGTAGGTCGTCATCTACTCAGTGATTCCATTTTAATGCTTAATTCTCTAGCTGGCTGGATGGGGTCATGATTCCACCATTGCAACCGCAGTGGAGGTGGGTTCTTGATACTCTGGATGCTAATATCAGGTGATGTATGTTGTTCCAGTATTCTGTTCGCTATAACCCCCGAAAGTGTGACAAATGTGTCAAATTGGATGTACCTTGTATTGTACTGCCAGACAAGAAACATGGGTTCACACAACTTGCCTGTGCCAACTGCGATGAAATGAAGATAACCTGCACAATTGATGGTGTTGGCATCCAGGAGAAGTTGCAAGCAAAGTTGAAGGGAGATGAAGCTCTTCCTCCCAAATGTACCCAAATCCACACCCCCAAATTGTGCCCCACCAAAACTCAAGCTAAAGCTGTCACCACAAAAAAAAAGAAAAACCCTGCACATGTATTCACCTGTGCCGGACAAAAGGTTGTTCCATCGGATTTATCGGGCGGTAAGCACATCTATAGCACACTTCGGGCTAGTGAAAATCAATCAAATTTCAGACTCACATGCGGACCGACCAATGGAGGGTGTGACTCCACATCTGGATCCACTCGCACCCCCAGCAACGGTCCAACCAATCACTGATCCTATGGTTAGGTCAGGCAGACTCCAACATCAGCCTGAGCCTGAGCCAACTGCCAGAGATATACTGCATAGTATATATGACCTCAGTAGACAGTTCGATCTCCTTGCCACAAACAAACGGGTGGACGTGTTAGACACAAGGTTAGGTGTGATGGAGAAGACATTAGATGTGAGGTTGACCGTGCTGGAGAAACGTTTAAGCACTTCAAATCAGCATTGGACTGCGACATCATCATCTCTGGGCAATTTGGCCATGGCTCTTCGGAAGCACAAAGACGATCAGATGATGCACCGTCCTCATGAGAGCATAGCCGGAGACTCACAATCGCAGCAACATAAGGCCATGTATCTGTTGTGGTCACTTCACAATACCGGCAGCAGTGATGAGGAGGCTGCCTTGCAAATTGCAAGGCAGCCCCCTGGTGTCAACAGCAAATGGCTAGATAATGCCAGGAGATCTGTATCTACAGCTGTAGCCGGAACATCACTTCCATTTGCCTCCTCTCCTTTATCCTCCTGGTTCTCTAGTGCCCCTCCCAGCACATCTGGCAAGTAGATCGTTGTCACATATGGCTGCACATGTCATGACTAAAGGAGCCTAATGCTGTAGTTATATTTGTCTTGTATTTCTATAAGATAGCAGTGAGGAGATGTATGAAGGTTTGCAATAGAAGAATCGGATGTTCCACTAAATTGAAAGTTTGCTTTATCGGGAATGTTTGGCATACAATGGCCTACTTTCAAGACGATTCTGCCGAATGATATGTTTATTGATGCATAATATGGCAAACATATGATCAAAGGGATGCTTCTGGGATGGGCCAGCTGGTTTCACCAATGTTGTTTTGGGCCCAAGAAGTCGCGTTTTGTGTTGTCGGATGGGCCAGACAAGACAGAATTCAGTTGTGGCGGCTGTGTATGAATGTATTAATCATGGAAATCTGCCCAGGTAGATGGGCTGCACACCAGGGACCCATGGGGAGTGGGCTAGCTCATCACTCCTCTAGGGTTACGGATGAGCTTAGCTAGTTATTTTTGGGCCCATCAGCATATGCTTTGATCTCGGTAATGCTGATGGGAGGGCTCAGCTAGTCATTGTTAGGCCCAGTGAGGCTCAATAAGCAAAGGTCCAGTTGACCAAAAAGCATGAGTTTCATCTCGGAAGGGCCAGGAAGTGATGTTTTGGCCTGTGTTATAAGCATGTAACTCTCTGAGAGGTGACCAAGCTAAGATAGATAATCTCGGAACATTTGACGGATGGGCTCAGCCATTTATTGTGAGGTCTGTGAACATTACAAGGGCAAACTGACATGCCAAGCAATTGATTGTGTGTGTAATGCGGTTTTGGCAAAGCACAGTTGGTCATTTGATGACTCAGCACATATCTACACTATCTTACGGATGGGCCCTACTAGTGAACTGTTGCTCTTGAAAGGGCTTGTACACTGGCTTAAAACATCGGATATGGGTCTCTGGTGAATATGGATGGGATTGGGCATTGGAGCCATTACAAATAGCAGAGCAATGCAACTTTTGACATGATACCGGAAGAGATATATATATATTGACATTTGCAGATTGACCTCTCCAGAAATTCAACACATCAATTTCACGAATGATGTGAAAAACCTTGTAGATCATGAGCCAAATGGATCTAGTTGTGTGATAAGTGCATGGAAACATCAACATACATGATTATCTAGAAGTTACATCCCAAGCATTCCCCAGAATCGCCAAACAGGTGATCTTGACCTACTATGCACGCCCCAATTGTCATCATGAGCATCTTCTGTATGATACGCAAGACATCCAATCAGGTCGTGGCAATGCCTGGTATCGGAAGATGGTATGATGACCTGTGGCTATGTATGTACCAAGTAATCTGGTTGGTTACTATATTCGGTAGCCACAACTTACATGAGCTCAGTTACTACAAAGATGAAGCAATACCAACAGTTTGATATGGGAGCCCATATGGATCAAAAGATGATATATGTGTTAGCGTGCTGGCTACCTATCACCCCCAGAGCTATAATCGGACACAATCATTGTTCTGTAGCTCAGCATGCCAGAACTTGTATTATGCCTGGGCTACAACCAGATGAACTATATACACTGCAGTATATTATGCTATTGGAAGTTCAAGCTTTCATGCAATCACGATGAAGCCAGGTGTATGTGACTAGGTGGGACTAAGCCATATGCACAAAAACCATTCAAAAAGGAATAGGTGAAATAAGATATGTACTAGAGCTTCAAACTGGGTAAAATTACAGAATCTCCGCAATATCGGTGACCCGCGCAGTATATCTAAGAGTCCGAACATAGATAATGCTTTCAATGTAAGGACAGTGAGCAACTAGTCCAGTAGCATATTTCCGGGGGAATGTACAAATGTCCCGGAGGTAATTAAATACCAGATAGAGTTCAATATGAATGCTGATCCGGATCCGACATTGACATAGATGTAGGAGGTTTTGTATAACATCCGTAATGACACTCATATAGCTATCTGCCCACTTATCAGCATCGTGAGTCTGGTCAGACATATTATCTGCCACCATCATTCTGTAGTTGGAAGTGGTAAAACTTTCACTGACAAGAACTATGTCCACCAGAGGATTATTCTATTGGATGTCACAGTGTCATGCAATCATGGTCCTCATAACTAGGGGAAACAACCTATTCAAGAAAACAACAGTGCAGTCTATATGTACACATGAAAAGGACAGAGGTGAACTACAGGGGACAGTGACCTGGAATAGCGTAGTCAGGCAAAGAGCAGCTAAAATTACAGGATATATATGTACTTGGGTATCATGACATAGCAAACTAGTTTGTGTTTGAGGTTCTAGATGTGCCTACATATCTCTTTACTGGGAATCCGATAAGTTGAGCCATTGCTCCAAGGCCTTCAACCGCTGGTTGAAGACACTCTCTACCAAAGCCACTCTTGCCTCCCATGCTTCCACATGCTCATTGGTAGCAAAGAGATCCAATCTCCTTCCGAGGTCCTGGATGCTCTCCAGGACGTGCCTTACTGTGGACTCTGGATCTATGTTGTTGGTCGGAGCAGGGTGGTCATCCTGTTCTGACCGTGGGACAGGCTCCGATGTCGACACAGTTGGGAGTGGTTGCATAAGCAGATTGCCAGGTGGTACATCCTTTGGTTGTTACCCAGCCTCTAGGTAAGCTAGATGAGGTCAAGTTCCTTGGATCCAATGGAAAACTTACCCGTCTCTTTGTGTCCGAGGCCAGAAGAACCATGTGGGGCGGTCTTCTGGGACTTGGGAATGCGGGCTCTGGAGTGCTTGTCAGAATTGGATAACGCTGCAGCGGTCTTAGCTTGCAACATCTCCCTCACACCAACACCGTATTATTGCAATTTGCTCATGCAAGTCATGTGTATCTGAACTTTTTGTCCGGAAGGACAATGCTCGGTATGTCCAATTTTGTGCACTTGTCGCACTGCTGAGGGTGGTAATGAATGGAGCACTTGAAATATATTTGCTGTGGACTCTCGAGTATGCATGTATTGACAGACTTACCTCCCACGGCATTGCGACCTGAGAATTCTGACCCCACCCTGCAGGCTACAAACAACCATCAGTATCAATGTTGAGCAGAGAGCCGATAATGCACCCTTGTCTCTTCCTCCCAAAAATTTCTGTCATCGGCCGCAGAGTCTATACCTGCCAGATTCAAATCCTTGTCTGAAGCTGCCTTAGATGGTGGGAGCACATTCTAGTTCAGGATTCATATACAAACATAGCCGAACATACCTTTACCAAGATAGTTCCAGCGCAAACTTTGTCTTCACCAGTCGATTGGAACTTCTTCTTTCTCTTCTGTCTAGAGTGGAGGTGACTTGAGTCCATCTGTGATAACCGCCACATCTGAATCTTCATCGCCGGCCTTCTGTTATAACTTGAATAGGTCGAGTGTCCCGATGCTGAATAGCAGGTCTCTAAGCAATCTCGCGAAGATGGAAGGACAGTAGTCTAGCCTTGGATGAAGCCCAAGGGATCCTCTGACAAGCTTGGTAAGCGCGGTGGCTCATCAAGCTGTAGGGCTAACAGATATACGGCTAAGGTAGTGTCGGCTTGCCTTAGAAGTGCGGTCAAGACAGAGGGACTGGGGAGAGGATGAACAAGTACTGGGATTGTACTAGTTTCTAGAAAATACCAAGTAGATCAAAGTAAGGAATACAATGATCGGTGTCTAGTCTATATAGGCATATGCTATAAGGTTCGGTAGGAGCCTGTATCATGAATCTATCTGAGTCAGAGATAAGATGAGGTGAGGCAAGCCTTGCTTGTCTGATAAGATGCATGAGGCGCCTCTTCTATGTCAAGATACGTACTTGAGGCACTCTGGCCTAAAGGTCCATCAACACATGTGAAGGCATGTGTTGGTCTAATTCTACATGAGGCATACAGCTGTCATGATGGGATCGGGAGGCCTTCCAGGCCATAGTGAAGTCATAACGGTTCCAGACTGCTGTCAGTCAGGACCTAGGCTAGGTCCGGCAATGTTATTGTAACACCTTCCTCTTGTTGCTGTTGCTGACCTGCGGTGCTGCATTTCCGGGTTTCTTCTTGGCACCCGCAGTTGATCTACATCAGGAATGGCCTATCAACCATTGCTTCTGGAAGATCCTGTATGGCTGTCCGGGTATCCGACACACCATTTATGGGTGAGAAGTGGATTAAGGCCTATTGTGCCTAGGAAATTTTGTCATAGACTGTTTTACCCCTTTCCGGGTATCCGATGCACCATTTATGGGTGAGAAGTGGATTAAGGCTTGTTGTGGTGCATGCAAGATAAATCAAACTACCTCTGATTGCGACAACAGATGCACCGCAACAGGCCTTAATCCACTTCTCACCCATAAATGGTGCATCGGATACCTGGAAAGGGATGAAATTTTCCAGGCACAGTGTATTCTCACATAAAATCAATTTCCTGGTCATGGGGTGTTGCTGCTTGGCTTTGTAAGTGCATTGTTGCTGCAGCAGTGAGCACTCACTGCAGTCACCGCTCGAGACACCATCACTCTTGTTGTCAATGTCAGGTGTCTGGACCGCTCTGCCTGAAACTCAACTGTATTGTCTTGGGCGATAATCCTCACCATATTTTCCCAGTCGACATTGAGTGGATGGAGATTGTTGGTGACCTCAAAGAGGTCATCAAAGACAAGAAAAGGCCGGAATTTGACCATGTTGCCACTCACCGTCTTGAGCTATGGAAGGTGAGTGATCTGATGCCTAGGATTGGATGTTGATAATCTGATATTTTGGAAGGTCGACCTGCCTATCGACGAGATGATTGAGCACAATCTCAACAATCTTACACTTGACCCAATGAAATCCCTATCACCTGTGGATGAAATGGTAGAGATTTTTCCCGATGCTCCTCCGCGCAAGTATCTGCATATTATTATCCAATGCCCGCCCGCCAGTGAGTTGTCCTTCAATATTGCCACCCTTTCCTTACTGATGGTGGTCTGACTTAGTGTCTTCCGGACTGCTCCACCTGAAACTCAACTGCATAGTCTTCGGCAATGATCCTTGCCATATTTTCCCAGTCGACGTTGAGCGGACGAAGACCGTCAGTGACCTCAAAAATGTTATCAAGGTCGCTAAGAAGCCAGAGTTTGACCATGTTGCTGCTGACCATCTTGAGCTATGGAAGGTGAGTGATCTGATGCCTACGGTTGAATGTTAATAATCTGATATTTTGGAAGGTCAAGATCAATTGGAACAATATAGACTTACGGAACACGATCATAGACAGAGGTGTCGAGCTGCACCCGTTAATTGAGCTGTCCGATGTGTTTGCAGATGGAATAGAGTGCGGATGTATTCATATCATTGTACAACATCCTGCCGTTGCATGACACATTCCAGCTGTTGATCGGCAAATCACTTATCTCAAGAAGGGCGCGGGTACTCCGTAGGCTGGTGCAAAACCATCCACATTCTCTACAAAGCAGGACCAGCAAGAGTACCTTTGCAATCGTCCTTGCAGAGCCGCGGACCCTGTTCCCATTACTCTTCTCGAGCCTATCTTCGCTGAGTTCGTGGATGATTGTCAAAATCATCAACCAACTGTCTGTGATAATAAGGTTGTTTTGCAACTTTCAGAAAAGATGGCCTCCTTCTATCCCAATGAGCTCGTGTGGATGAATACATTCCGGCAAGTGCTCCGGGACTACGGTATTATACTCAATGCTTCTATGGTTGGCTCGACCAGATGTACAGCAGATGGACATCTTTTGTCTACCAATGGACAGTTTGTGCTGATGATAATTGAGGGGAAGAACAAGATTGGAAGTGACACTGCCAAATCATTCATGGAGCAATGTTGTACTACCGCAAGTTTATGGAAGACTTGAAGATTGAGATGGCGAGGCTCCGGTCTTTCATTCCATGCATCCATATCATTGTCTTTGGTTAGTTCATTTCACCAGATTAATTGATACAGCTTTTTATTGATCACAACTAGGGGAATGCATCGGCTTTTCAGGCTCTGTTTTCACCAAAAAAGTCCAGTCCAATGTTCTGGTCCCTATGATTCCGCTGTTTTGGCATTCAAGAGACTTCCACATGCAAGTGATGGCAGCTTGTACTTTTGAGGCTCTCAAAATTGTCGTTGAGAAACTTACAAAACTATACTCCCATCCAATCCCGTCCCTCGCACCCAAAGATCCACATCTTAAATGTCCTTACCCTCGGAGTTATACCAATTCCACCAGTTTTATCCAGCAATTCTCGTATGCTGAGACTCAAATCCTCAGGGATCGACTTATCTTCTTTGGGGAAACCATCAGCAATGCGGCTGGGAGCAAGATATGCATCAAGTTTGTCAGGCACTATTCCCCTCAGGCCCACGAATTCTGTGCCAGCAAGGGGAACACCCCCAAACTTATCACCTACAATTCTTTACCTAGCAGCTGGAATCTGGTGGTTATGGATGCCCTTGATATTGATAATGATTGCTTTCTGCAATGACCTGGCTCATACCGACTGCTCAGTGGGATATGTGTGTTGGACCATCAGCCGCTGAAGGAGACCATCACCTCTCTCATCCAGGATTTACACAATCACAATGATGGATACGTTCATGGCGACCTTCAAGATACCAATTTTGTTGTGCGGGATGACAAACACTTCATGTTGCTCAATTTTGATTGGGCTGGACTGATCCAGAAGACACATTATCCTATCTATGTCAATCGGAAGGATATTTGATGGCCTGATGGTGCGTGGGATGGGCAGAAGATTGTGGCGGAGCATGACTTGGATATGCTGAATTATCTATTCCATCCTGAGAAAGATGTTCAGGAGCCAGCTGCAAAGCGCTGCCGTATATTTGGTGAAGGGCCACTAACAGTCATTTGATTCATTTATAATTTGTTGTATCACCAAAAGTCCACTTTGCTTGATACCAGTCTGTTTTTTTCCCATAAAGCTATCATACAATGACTTAGGGAGAACGGCGACATATATTAGTATCTGTTATACTGTAGCTAGCCAATTTGATTATTGCCCATGGCACACGCCTTCTCACAAGTCTCAGTAAGGAGGATTCTACCATACATAAATGGAATATACGACCTCATCCTCAGTGGAGGCAGTGATAAAATGATGTCAGAGTAGACAGTATCTCACAGCCATACAGGATCTTCTGGAAGCAATGGTAAATCAGTCCTCAGTGGAGGTAGCAATAAAATGATCACAGAGCGGACGGTACCTCACAGCCGTAGGAGATCTTCCGGAAGCAACGGTGAATCGGTCCTCAGCAGAGGCAGTGATAAAATGATCTCAGAGTGGACAGTACCTCAGACGGTGTCGGCATGAGGAAGAGAATGCAGGCAAAGGCATCTGCGGCTTCCTCAAGTTCTGCCAAACATTCCGGAATGCACTTTCCGACATCTGGCGCGATCTCCAAGATGCCGGCTCAGAAAACACTTGCGCAATCCTCCTGTTCTTCTGGGGTTAAACTTGACCTCATGGCAGGTGAGTTTGCCATCAAATCGGAAGAAGTTGAACTCATTGAGATGACTCTCAGATGCGGAGCAACAGCCTGGCCTGCTAGATGATGTGCTCATGCATACATTCCCAATTCTTCTCAGAAGCCAATGACTGGAACTGGATGATCAGCTTGCGCCGACCAACCTTGCCAGTCCTGAGCTAACTGCAAGGGACATTCTGCAGGGCATCAAGGACCTCAGCAGGAGATTTGATCTCCTGGCCACCAATGAGCGGGTGGATACCTTGGAGGCAAGAGTCTCTTCAGTGGAGAATATCCTCCACCAGCGGTTGAAAGCATTGGAGCAACGGTTAAACACATCGGATGCCCAATAGAGAGCATGTCAGCATCTCTGGTACATCTCGTGATACCCAGATCTGTTATGCAAGTCACCATTACCATATATATAATAATTTCAGCCACTTTTGTCCTGACTATGCTGTTCCTGGTCGACGTTCCGGTAGGCTGGGTCTTGGTCCATGTAATTTGTATATATGAGCTGCATTGCTGGTTGCTACATATTGTTCTCCCTAGTGAGAATATACTTTACTTCATGATGATCACATGAACCTGTGACAGTCAATGTCATAATACTCCAGTATAGATAGTTCATGCGGTAGAGGACATATCATTGCGGATGCTACATGTATGGTGCATCCCTCTGATATGTATATCAAGATGCATCCCTATTGACTAAACCTCGCTATACTACCTTCTGAGACCAAATCCTATATTGTGTCAAAGTAATGTCAATCGGCCCTTCCAAGATGACATGTGCATGTACCAGGCACTCAGCAGTGTTTCCGAGACCAAATGCTTTACTCTTTTGGGAGATCTGTAAGACACTGTACAGCCTGAAAAATCCCTCACCAAACCTTCCTGAAACAGCAATAAATATTGATGTACTGGGCATATCCGTAGGCCCTTTACAAAATTGTTTACCGGGGCCATCTGCCACTCATTCCAAGATGATTACCAACAATCTGTAGATGCCCCTTCCCCAGCCGCTTGTGTACGTTCTGGGTTGAAAAATTACTAGCCACCGACTAGGCCTACAATACCTGGCTGAGCCCTTCCCTAAGTTCTTCCAAGATCCAACACTAGCACTGGGCCAAAGAAATAACCTGCTGGGCTTATCCACAAGCCCCTCTGAGATAACTTTCATATGTACTAGGCCTAAGAACATCCAGCTGGGCCCTTCTGAAATCATATTAGCCTATCTTGGGCCAGAGAAATAACCAGCTGGCCCTTCCGAAATCAAATGCAAAGTCTATGCTGTATAATTTGATTTGTGGGCCCTTCCAAGACCAAATGCAATTCCCTTGGGCCTTGTTGGGCCCAGTTGGTTTGCTAAAGCACAAACATTGATCTCGGATGTGCCGGGCTCATGAATATTGGCTTAGTGTATCCATAAGAACCTTTACAATACAAAATGGTCAATCATATTGTAACAATTGGAGCATAGCATTGGGCATAGAATATCGGGAGCCAGTATATACATGAACCTAGAACATATAAAAGCTGGTCATATGGTAACAACAGGAGCATGACACGGGGCATAAATCCTCAGAATATCAGGAGCCAGTATGTACAAGAACCTTGAAAAGACAAAAAGAATAGCCATATTGTAAGATCGGGAGACATTAATGCAAGGACAGTGTGTAACTAGGGCGTTGTTGTGTTCCTGGGGGGGAATATACAAATATCCTCAAGATGTGGACATCACTCTCCGCCATGCATCCGAGATGTTCAACCATTGGTTGAAGTTGGTCTCCGCTGAAGCAACTCTTACCTCCAATGCCTCCACCTGCTCATTGGTGGCGAAGAAATCTACTCTCCTGCCAAGGTCCTGGATGCTTTGCCAGATGTGTCTTGCTGTTGGCTCGGCATCCATGGCATTGGCCGGCGCAGGCTGGGCATCCTGTTCCAGCTGTGGGACTAGGTCGGCTGTGGATGTCATTGGAAGTTGCGCCATTGGAGCATTTCCAGGCAGGACATCCATTGGCTGTTGCTCTGCCTCTGCGGAATCTAGATGAGTGGAAGCTGCTCAGATCAAATCAAAAACTTACCATTACCCTCTTGTTCACTACCAGAGGAACTAGGGGGCGGGGGCAGTAGGTTTGTCTTCCTAGATGAGCAGCCAGCTGGTGTCTTGGCGCGGGACTTCGGAATGTGCATTCCAGAGTGCTTGGGAGGATTGGATGCTGCTACAGCGGTCTTCGCCTGCAACCTCTCCCTAACACCCATGCCATCAATTGCACATGTGATTTCATGTGATCACAGTTGGCACACACTAGTCGCGTGCATCCAAACTTCTTGTCCAGCAGGACAAGGCAGGGTATGTCGAGTTTCCTGCACTTGTCACATTTCCGGGGGTGGTGACAGACGGAATACTGTAAATTGGTTAGCATATTACAGCAGTCATATTGTCACGAGTTCCAAATACAAACCATTATTTGTTCCTTAATTCTAAGTCCTTTAAGCGCCCAGTCACAGCGCCTGTTCCTAAGAATATGTTTACTGTTGAAGAAGTCCCTATTATTGCGTCTATTGTAGAATTACCAGAGTCACGTGATCGATCGGACAATGCCGAAGATGTTGACGTCATGCCTCGCGACACTCTTGGAATGTTCCAGAGTCTTACTGCGGCTACGGCACATGTTATGACATCATAGTTATATATAGAATCGTACGATACCTTTAATTATTCTGATTGGTTAGTTAGTTCATACTCAATTTCGATCTCAGTTTCAATATGTGTATATAGGTAGCTCGTCGTAGTCAGTAGTTCTTTAGTTCAAACCTCTTGTATCTCCAAGTGAGCAATCCAAGACGTACCTGCTGCCTTATCCTCTTTGTGATTATCTTGTTGTTTGAGTCCTAGTCTCTGCCCTGCATTAATTCGTTTAAGGGGTTGTGACATTAGGTTTGAACTATAGGAGACTCCGACTCTCGCGTTACACTCTCGCATCTCTCTTTCTTTCGCTTGGTCGTGTTGATACCCATCACACCATCAACCAAAACAAAGCCGTTATACTTTTGCCCGGCTTAACCGCCACGATCCTTTGTTTTATCCCTTTGCTCATTTGAGCGCATTTCTTTACCTATCATCTTTCGTAGTTAGTAGTCCTATACCAGGCCCTGTCTTACCGCAGCCGCCAGTATACGGAGGTGTTCACGACATTAGGCGTGTCACTGCAACTTTGAGTGCTGGCCCAAAACCCTGCCTGCTCAACGTTACTATAGTTTCATTTTACCTATTCCTTTCTTCATACGCACGTAGGCATTCGTTTCGAGTCGATAGCGGAACTGTCTAGACGACAAACCGTGCTTTCGACCTACGAGGATTTAGCGACATACCCTAGTGAGACTCGCACTTGTAAGCTTCGGCTGGAAGAGTGATAACTTGTCCTAGGCTTGTACCCTCAGAACGGAGATTGCATTGTCCCTAGTTTTTCCCACTCGATCGAGTATAGTTACGTATCCTTTTTAGTTAGTATTAGGGAAGCATCGGTTGGGTTGATTAAAGAACCCTTCGATCCTGAAGTACATGGTAGATCCGATCAGATATCGGGGACCGCTTCAGTTTTCCATTACATAACTTTCTTCTTTTCACCATCATTCCCTTTCGGAAGAGCCCTTACGAGCAGCTCTTCAACAGACATCAGTGAATCGGGTTCCAGAATACAACTGGCACTATGTCTGAATTACCAAACTCTCCTACACAGTCTGCACCGACAGTGGTGTTACCATCCACTCCACAGGAGGTTGTCGAGTACATTCACATGTCACTTGCAAATCAAGCGGAAAGCTTCAGGGTCAGAATTACAGAACTAGAAGCCAAGAATGCGGCTCTAGAAGAAGCAAACAGACTCCTGGGCGTACACCTAGAAATGCAAGAAGACGAGACTGTAAAGATACAATCTCAACAACCATCCTTCGGCTCTGCAGGAGCTAGTCTACTTTCATCGAACTCTTCCCCTTCCATCAAATACTCGAAACCCCAAGACTTCACTGGAGAAAAAGACTCCATAGAACTCATGGTCTGGATATCCCAAGTAGCGCTATACACGGCGCAATGGCCCAACATCCAAGAAGGCCAAAGAATAGGAGTAATGCTCTCCTTCATGAAAGGCACTGCAGCCAAATGGGCGCAACCTTACATCACTAAACTTGGAAGGACCGGAGACGAGAAGTTGACCGTGGAGAAATTCCTGGAAGACTTAGAAGCCATGTGGGGGCAAGAAGATCATGAAGGAAAGGCGATCAGAGAACTGGAATCCCTTAGACAAGGATCTTCCTCGGTTCCAGAGTACGCGGCCGCTTTCAGACAAAAGGCCGCACACACTTCCTTTTCCGACTACGACCAAAGGCAGAAGTTCAGAATGGGACTTCAAGACCGCGTCAAAATACAGCTTGCTCATGTCCGTTACGAGGACAAAAACACCATGAAGAAACTGGTGGAACATGCGATCCAAATCGGACGCAACTTCGAAGAGCTGGACGCGGACAAAAAGAAGACGACCTGGTGGACCCCTAAACAAGGCCCCAGGACCCCTGAATACAAACCTGATCCGAGCAGGGAAAGCGATGCTATGGACGTCGATGCCAACAAGCAGCGAGGTGCTCCAAAACCTCAAGGAAGGACTGGATCCTTCAAATGCTACCGCTGTGGAGGCGAAGGCCATATGGCTAGAAACTGCAAAGACGCAGTCGCACCAAAAGTGCAGGTGAAGGCTACTACAGTGCCAAAAGAAGAAGACCCTATTCCGAGTTGGTTCAAAGCTTGGGTCAGCTCCAAGGAAGGCAAGGGTTTTTAGAAGGGTCGAAGTCAAAGTCTGCGAACTTAGACCCGAACAATCGTTTCTCCATTCTATCTACGTTCTCGGATGTATCAGAAGTATATATTAAATCCAAATCTGAGCATTTTTACATTCCGATCACGTTGAAGGGAAAGAACCGACAAGCAGATGTGAAAGCACTGGTAGATTGCGGTGCATCGACATTATTTATTAGCGAAAAGTTTGTGAAAAAGAACGAAGTCCGGTGCCATAAATTATTAAGGCCCATTCCGGTTAAAAATATCGATGGCTCGTTAAATGCCGCTGGATCGATGACTCATTATGCAGAATTAGGTCTAAAGATCGGTGATCATGTTGAGGATCAAGCAGCCTTCATGGTTACAGACTTAGGAAGCGATGATGTTATTATTGGCATAGATTGGCTAAGATATCACAACCCGGAAATAGATTGGAACGCTGGACGTTTTGCACTCTCTCGTTGCCCAGTTAAATGTATTACTAAAAAAGAACAAAGACAAAAAAATAAAGAAAAAAGAAAAGAACAAAAAAAGATAGAAGAAGTGCCAGACCTGATTCCCACAGAAGAGGATGACGAAGAAGACATGGCGATGAAGAGGGCGACAGTTGAGGAAATAGAAGACGAAGAGTATCCTGGAGAATGGATCAAGTATAAAGCCTCGGTTGCCACGGAGCAGAAGGTTGCAGAAGAAGCAACGAAGGTGAAGAAATCGGTCGAAGAGATGGTTCCCGATTGGCTTCATGAGTACCTGGGAGTTTTCTCAGAAGAAGAATCTAAGCGCTTCCCTGAAAGAAAGAAATGGGATCATGCGATAGATCTTAAAGATGATGGCGATCTTCCGCCGAATGCGAAACCCTATCCCTTATCACCCAAGGAGATGGACACTTTGAAAGATTGGTTAAAAGCCGAGACTGCACTGGGACGTATAAGAAATTCACAATCTCCAGTGGCAGCACCTTTCTTCTTTGTGGCCAAAAAAGATGGCAAGTTAAGACCAGTGATGGACTATAGAAAGCTCAACGAGAAGACGGTTAAAAATGCATATCCGCTACCGAGATCTCAAGATTTGATTGATGCTTTAACCGGTGCCACGATGTACTCCAAGATGGATGTAAGATGGGGGTACAATAATATTCGCATGAAAGAAGGAGATGAGTGGAAGGCGGCCTTCAAAACGCCGTTTGGTCACCATGAACCAACCGTGATGTACTTCGGGTTAACAAACTCCCCTGCCACATTTCAAACCATGATGAACGAGATATTCAGAAATTTAATTGATGGAAAGACCGTAGTTGTCTATATCGATGATATCCTCGTGTTCACGAATGGCAATAGGGAGCAACACCGAAAAGTTGTACGAGAGGTACTGAAACGACTAAAAGAAAATGATCTGTATCTGAAGCCTGAAAAGTGTAGCTTCGAACAGACAGAAGTCGAGTTCCTCGGGTTGATAGTGGAGAAGGGTGGTGTTCGAATGGACCCTGTGAAAGTAGAAGGAGTAATGAAATGGCCTGTACCCAAATGCGTTAAAGATATTCAAGCATTTATGGGCTTCGCCAACTTCTACAGAAGATTTATCTTCGGGTTCTCAGACATCGCTAGACCAATGAATGATTTATTACGGAAAGATGTCAAATGGGATTGGACGGAGAAACAGCAAGATGCTTTTGATGAACTGAAGTCAAGGTTTACATCAGCTCCGATCCTAGTAATGCCTGACGTTGAGAAGAAAATGAAAATAGAAACCGATGCTTCTGATTATGCAACTGGAGCAGTTCTATCTCAACTGATGGAAGATGACCTATGGCACCCCGTGGCATATTACTCTAAGTCAATGAACGATGCAGAAAGAAATTATGACATCCATGACAAAGAGTTACTTGCAATCATTCGAGTGTTGGAGGAGTGGAGGCACTATGTGCAGGGAAAACCTCACCATGTGGAGATCTGGACGGATCATAAGAATCTCGAATACTTTATGACGAGCCAAAAGTTGACAAGAAGGCAAGCCAGATGGAGTTTGTTCCTGGCGGAGTATGAATTTACGCTCCAACATAAGCCTGGTGTAGTCAACGATAAGGCCGATAAGCTTTCTCGGAGAGAAGACCACAGAGGGGGGGTAGAAAACGACAATTCTGATCGTATTTTGTTAAAACCGGAGTTTTTTACTGTAAAAGCTGCTAAAAGAGGTCAAGTTCTAGTGCAAGGAGAAAAACAATTGCTGAGAAAGATAAGGCAATGCACAGAACGAGAGCCCGAAGTCGCTAAAGCGCTACAAACGCTAAAAGCAGCACCGGTACAATTGCGTAGAGGAGTCGAAGAGTGGAATGTGGAGGATGGATTGGTGTTATTCCGAGGACTGGTTTACGTTCCAAATGATAAAGAGATCCGCCGAGAGATATTGGAGTTGTTTCACGACTCTCCACCGGCTGGACACCCTGGATGTGCCAAAACCTTAGAATTGATTTCCAGAAATTATTGGTGGCCTTCAATGACGAAGTATGTCCACGATTACGTAGATGGCTGTGATAGATGCAGAGCAACGAAGATTCACCCAACGCAACCACATGGTCCGCTTAAACCAAATGAAATACCAGCGGGACCTTGGCAATCAATCACCTGTGATTTGATAGTAGATTTGCCTAAAAGCGAAGGGTTCAACTCTATTTTTGTTGTCGTTGATCGATACACGAAACAAACGCACATCATGCCTACGAAAAAGGAAGTTGACGCTCGAGGAATCGCGAAACTTTTCTTAGATAACGTATGGAAACACCATGGAACTCCGAAACAGGTGATATCGGACAGAGGAACACAATTTGTCTCCAAATTTATGGGACAAGTGTCGAAATGCCTAGGCATAAAATGGAACATGTCGACGGCTTATCATCCTCAGACAGACGGACAAACAGAGAGAATCAACCAAGAAGTAGAGCAATATCTGAGAATGTTCACGTCTTACCGCCAAAATGATTGGGTAGACTGGCTTCCGATAGCAGAATTCGCTCACAATAACTCTGTCACTGTAACGGGTCATAGTCCATTCAAAGTACTCTACGGATACGATCCAGAGTTTACTTTTTCACCAATTTCCAATTCTAAAGTACCTGCAGCTGATGAACGAGTGGATGTAATGAAAGAGGCAAAGGAAGACGCAGAAAGTATGCTGCGAATGGCGAATGAGCGGATGAAGAGATTCTATGATAGAGGAGTAAAAGACGCACCACAATTCAAGAAAGGAGATCTGGTCTGGCTCAATGCCAAAAATATCCGTCAGAAAAGACCAAATAAGAAACTCTCCGATCGACGACTTGGTCCGTTTGAAGTGCTAGAGAAGACGGGTGATGTAAATTACCGCCTGAACCTTCCAGCAAAATATCAGATTCATCCGGTATTCCACGTAGAATTACTCACTCCGCATTCCCCCTCGACCTTAATCCAAAGACCTCCACATCATCGTCCGCCGCCAGAGATCTTATCAGAAGGCGATTCCGAATGGACAGTACGAAAAGTCCTAGACTCGAGACTGCACAGATCAAAACTCCAATACCTAGTAGAGTGGGAAGGATATCCGATAGAAGAAGCGACATGGGAACCTGAGGAAAACCTTGAGAATGCACGGTTGAAAGTTCAAGAATTTCACCGGCAAAATCCGAAGGCATTAAATCCCCGCAAAATTAACAAATCGGTGTTCGAAACCCAAGAGTTTTTGGAATGGCGCAAGAAGTTTATTCATCCTAGTTTCATTCGCGATGACGCTCATCCTAGAGAGGGGGTAATGTCACGAGTTCCAAATACAAACCATTATTTGTTCCTTAATTCTAAGTCCTTTAAGCGCCCAGTCACAGCGCCTGTTCCTAAGAATATGTTTACTGTTGAAGAAGTCCCTATTATTGCGTCTATTGTAGAATTACCAGAGTCACGTGATCGATCGGACAATGCCGAAGATGTTGACGTCATGCCTCGCGACACTCTTGGAATGTTCCAGAGTCTTACTGCGGCTACGGCACATGTTATGACATCATAGTTATATATAGAATCGTACGATACCTTTAATTATTCTGATTGGTTAGTTAGTTCATACTCAATTTCGATCTCAGTTTCAATATGTGTATATAGGTAGCTCGTCGTAGTCAGTAGTTCTTTAGTTCAAACCTCTTGTATCTCCAAGTGAGCAATCCAAGACGTACCTGCTGCCTTATCCTCTTTGTGATTATCTTGTTGTTTGAGTCCTAGTCTCTGCCCTGCGTTAATTCGTTTAAGGGGTTGTGACACATATACAGAATGACTTGCCTGCAACGGGGTAGTGATATGGGAATCCTGGACCCATAGGGCAGGCTACATAAATGAGTGAGTGGAAGAGCTTTGTCAAGCGCAAATAACATACCCTGGTGTCTGCATCCTGGAAACCTGTGTCATCAGGCACATCAGAAGTGTCCAGAACTGCCGAGTCAGCATCCTTCTTAGCAGCGACAGGCAGCGATACCTTGTGCTGAGGGAGTTAACAATTTGGTCAACAATTCATGCAACTGACATACCTTTGGGATCGCATATACCGTTCCGGTGGGAGCTTTGTCTTGGTCTTCATCTGATCGGAACTTCTTCTTCCTTTGTTGCCTCAGTTTCAAGGACCAGGGAGGCAACTCAGGTGTGTCAGTAACTGCCTTGTCAGTGTCATCATCTGCCACTTTTCTCTTCTTACTTTTGCTGACCTGTAGCATGACCTTTGCAGATTTCTTCTGAGTGCCAGCCACAAAGAGATTGTGTTTGAAGGGAGTTGCAGGAGGTGCTGAAGTGTCAGCAGATGATTTTGGATCTGCAGGCTTGGGTGGCGGAGATGTTGGTCTGGGTGGAGTGTCCGGTGAGGTGATTGGATCTCCATCTGCGATGGATGCAGTCAGCAAGACCGCCAAGACCGTGGACGGCAGCATCAAAGTGTCTGTTTGGGAGAGGACAGCAGACACAGGTAAATTTACGGGTTCAAAAGAGGTAGAAACCTCAATCTCAGAGGGACTGTGGTAGCCCATGGTCTTGTCAAACCTTGGGTGGCTCTGGATCCTTGGGTCATTGTCAGATACAGAGGTCCAGTCGGGGATGCACTCAAAAGTACCGCCCTTGGAGTACTGCCAGATCACGGCAGCACAGGAGAGTAGCTGCAGGGAGAATGATGTTGCATCCCCAGCATGGATCCTTAGATTTTTGGCCTGTGTGGGGTTTAGCTTGCCAGGAATTCCAAAGTCCAAAATAAATAAACTCACCACACGCCTGGCGATGTCATCTGATAGTGTCAAACTCTCTGGATAACCCTCCTTCAACTTCATGCAACACTTCATGAGCAGTTGCATGGCCGCCAGAGTGGTGTTTAGGGCATTCTTTGCTGCCTCGGAAGGTGCCATGGTTGATATATTGAAGTAAGTGTGGTAATGTAGATACAGACAAGCAAAATTGGGTGTTTGGAAAATTGTCCAAGTGCCGACTTTTATATCAACCCGTTGGTTGTGGCCATTTCTGCAAATTGTGGAAGCTCTGAAATGTGGACTGGGTGTAACATTATTGTTGCACAATAGAACTGCTGTCTTATGTCATCACATCCACATCAGGAAAGGCTGATCCGCATATGCCGCCTGACCATAATCTGCTGTCGGGAGATCCCATACACAGCATAGCATTCATTACGGGTGAGTAGTGGATTAAGGCTTGTTGTGGTGGCATGCTAGTCTGTATAAGTGAGACCCTCACCCAAATACTGTCTGTTATCACAATAATATGTGGTTTGATCTACAATACCTCCACCGCAACAAACCTGAATCCACTTCTCGCCCATAATGGGTGCTATGCCGTGTATGAGATCGCTGGACTCTACACAATTTTCCGAAATCAGTTGTGGATTTGCAGTGTGGATATACCTATGGCAGTGACCGAATGTCAGAGTGGTAGCTACAACTGTTCTGTACAATAGTGTGACACCCGGACCATATTTCTGAGTGACCACAGTTCTCAGAAACACCCAGAACCGGCGGATTGGGATGACACCCAGACATTTTCCCACACAAACATACTCTCTTGCTTCCATCCCGTTCATTGCCATTAATGAACTTCTTCCCTTCACAATTCGTCATGATACCTCAGGAGGCAGCCAACGACGCCCTGGAGACTACTCTGGCTGATATGCAGTCGCTCATGAAGTGTTGCATGAAGTTAAAGGAAGCCAACCCAGAAACCTTAAGGCTCTCGGATGAGATCACCAGGCGAGTGGTAAGTTATATTTCCTCTCCAACTTTAGAGTTTTTTGCAACCCGACCATTTCACACAGGCCAAAGATTTGAAACTCTATGCAGGGAATGCGACATCATTCTCTCCCCTGCTACTCTCCTGCACTGCCATTATCTGGCAGTATTCAAAAAGTGGCGCCTTTGAGAGTGTTCCCGATTGGACTTCAGTAGCAGAAGACGACCCACGGATCAAGGACCACCTGCGATTCGAGAAGACCATGGACTATCGCCCACCCTTTGCCCTTGATGTTTCTCTACTTGCAACATCAAGCACAATTCCCACCACCTTTCCCACCTCACTACCTGCCCTTGACAACCTCAGCTCTTGCATCAATGTCATCCCATGCGGACCCAGATATCATTGCCAAGCCTGTACCGGAACCAAGATGATCTTTGCACTTACAAGCACGTTAGAATCCGTCCTGCATGGACCTGGATCTCGTCACTAAGCTGGTAGAGGAACCAAAACAATCTTCCCGCCCACGAGTGCTCAAGAACCTGCCCCCTCTCTGTTGTCTGGCACATCCACCCTTGAGATACTACCACCTGTATGTGGCTGAAGCTGAGAGGGAACATTGGAAGGCACTTGTCATGGCTGGCGATAGCAAGAAGAGAAAGGCATGTGATGAAGATACAGATGGGGCCGTTGTGATTGAAACCCTCAAGTTGCCTTCCTCGCCCCAAGAGCCTCTGAAAAAGAAAAGGAAGTTGATGTCGGATGCGCCAACCGGAATCATTGATGTGAAACCGAAGGTATGTCAGTTGATCTTGGTTGATGCAGCAAATGGCTTATCGCTCCAGGCATTACCATCTGTTGCTCCTGACAAGGCTGGTCCACCAGGCAATGACCAGGGTTTCTGGCATTCAGACATTCAGGTAAGTGATTCTCACTTATCCATAGCACTGATGCTGACCCATTGTCAAGCCTGCAGAATGGGGCTCAGATGATTGTATTGCTACTCCGTTCCAGGTAAGTCGTTGTGTCTATCTGTATCAGGACAACCTAACAAATTTCAAGCATTCTGTTCATTTCCATCCCCAGAAGTGCGACAAGTGCACAAAAATGGACATACCATGCATTGTCCTTCCGGACAAAAAGTTTGGATGCATGCGACTTGTGTGTGCAAATTGCGACCTCATGAAGGTCACCTGTGTGATTGTCAGCATCGGCATGAGGAAGATAATGCAGGGAAAGGTGTCTGTGGTTTCCTTGAATTCTGCCAAACACTCCAGAATGTGCATTCGGAAGTCCTACGTGATCTCTCCAGTTATACTTAACATCGCTGAAGGTGAGCTTTCCTTCCAAATGGAAGGATGTTAATTCATTGAGATAACTCTTAGAGGTGGAGCAACAACCTGGCCTGCCAGCCGATGTGCCAATCAAAACGCTTGCAATCAATAGCACAAGCCAACAGCCCAAATGGGGTGATCAGTTTGCGCCGACCAACCACGCTGATCCCAAGCCCACTGCAAGGGACATCCTGCAGGGCATTCAGGACCTTGGCAGGAGATTTGATCTCCTGGCCACCAATGAGCGGCTGGACACCTTGGATGTAAGAGTTCGTTCAGTGGAGACTATCATCCACCAGCACTTCGATGCACTGGAGCAATGCCTTAATGCCTTGGATGCCTGGTAGAGAGCAATGACACCCTATCTGGTACATCTTGGATCGACTAGTTTCCGGGATTCTTTATATCATGATACCCCATATATTCTGTACTTTTAGCTACATCTTTCCTTACTATGCTGTTTATGGTCCCCATCTGCTGTAGCTCAGTTCTGGGTTTATGTGATTTGTAGATATGAGCTGCATTGTTGTTTCATTCAATATCTTGTCTTCCCTAGTGAGGATATGCTTTACTTCATGATGATTACATGAAGCTGTGATATTCATGCGGTAGTGACAATGAAAGTTTTGAGACTCCTGACTATGGCATGATGATCATGGCCGATGATTTTCTGAGCGTTATAACGATGTGCATCATCGTGGATGGTACACGTATGGTGCATCCCTCCGACATGTATATCAACGTCGGATCCGGATCAACATTTGTATCGAACTTTGTCCTGTATTTCATTACTCGTTTCTTCGTTTCTGTTGCACCAGTTGCATCTGTAAAACTAGTCTCTGGTACAAAGTGCACTGACTTGGCTAAAATTCCCTAGCCGAGCCCTTCCGAGATCCAACACTTGCACTGGGCTTATCTGGAAGCCGCTCTGAGATTATTTGCATATGTATTAGGCCAAAGAATATCCTGCTAGGCACAACTGTTGGCCCTTCCGAAATCTGATGCCTATCATGGGCCAGACCAAATAGCTAGCTGGCCCTTCGAGAATACAATGCAGTCCCATGCCATATATTCAGCTTAGTTGGCCCTTCCGAGATCAAATGCATATTCTCTTGGGCCCATCCGTAGGCCCATCCAAGACTACCCAGCATATGTACTGGGCCGAACAATAGATGGGACTATATGTTGCCCCTCTGGGTGGGATCATATGCATATCCGGTGGGCCAAAAAAACTTGCTGGGCCCATCTGTGACCCTACCAAATCAGTACCACATCCATATACTAATGGCTCACCCATTACTACCAGGAATTCCTTCATGGTAGGCCCACCTAACTTGCCTGCATATTGGGGCCCACCTTGACTGGCCCAATCTGTGTGAATGTGCATGTGCTGGGCCAGTTCGGGCCTTCTGGATATTGGTGCACTGGGCCTAAACCTTACCAGCCGGACCGATCTGCATATTGAATGTGAGGACCAATTGGGCCCTTCCAGATGCTTGTGTACTGAGCCGATCTGCACCTGAATTTGTTATGTGCCAGGCCAGGTCTTGCATATTTGACCTATCCACACACTGAATTGGTATCTACTGGGCCCAAAATAACCAGTTGGCCAGTATTGTGATGGGCCCAGGAATAACCGGTCGGCTCACTTGTGCCCTCTTCCAATACTGTCAATAACCAGCTGGGCTCATCCATAAGCTATTCCAATATGAGCTGAGCCCATTCGCCAGCCATGCCTGATACTATTATGGGCTCAAAATATTCCTGTTGGCTCTTCCGACATCAAATTTCCCCAAGAATAAGTAGCTAGGCCCATCCGTACCCCCCTTCCAAGATATATAACTGGGCCCATGTACCTTGTGGCCCATTACAATTGTCCCATTCATGCTATGGCATCAACACTTGGCCCACCCACTAGCATGGGCGCTATTCCACACTGTGGGCCCATCCGTGCATAAGCACACATGGGCCCACATTGGATTGCCCACCTAACTGGGTTGATTCTCAACCTTTGGCTGTCCAACTAAGTCAAAAGTAAAGTACTGAATTATGTAGTCTCATTCCTATGATTATCACATTCTAGATACTTATATGTGGCTGGGAGATTTGTACCTGTTTCTTCATCAAATCAACACCAGTCCCTGGCCTCTCTCTCCTCGCACTTCTCACCTGTTCCCTCCGCTCATTGAGCACCCGTTACAGTTTGATTCGACCACAAACTCGTCAACTTGACCATTGAAACTCATATAATTCCATTCATCTGTTCTATTGTTGCCTCAAGGCATTATTCTACTTACATGTCTGATCCTAATAGTGCCAACCCGGACATGGAGAACTCACTCCCCTCTCAGTCCACCTTTGTTCCTACCCTGAAGAACTTCCATGAGGTCTTACAGGCCATCACAGTGCTCAGACAGAGCTCTGACCATCTTGACAAGCAACAGCACACCATAGGTCGCGCCCTTGAAGACATTACTGACAAAATCACTTCCCTCAGGTTCCCCACCATGCCTACCAGCGCCATGGGACACCAAGGTCACTCAGACTCAGTTGCCCCGCAAGGTGTTGCCAAGTTTTGGAAGCCAAGACTATTCAAAGGTAGTGCGACCGACATTGATGCTTTTGTCGACGAGATACTTAGTGCTGTCGAACTCTCTCATTCATCGCCACCCACCGACATGGACAAGGCTTTGTACTTGTCCACCTATCTAGACAATGGGTCACCACACTCTTGGTTCACAGCTATTCACCATACCAATGATGACTTGCTCCACAACTTCAACTCACTAATTGACAATTTCAGGCAACACTTTGGAGACCCTGACACTGAGGGCACGCCCCTCTGAAAGATCAAAAATCTTTGACAAATGAGCAGCTGTGCTAACTATGCATCCAAGTTCTGCGAGTTATTGGTATACATCAACTTCAACACCTCAACTACGATACAGAAGTACTACGACAGTCTGAAGGATGAGGTGAAGGACTTGTTACTAACTGTTCACGATCCTCCCGATAGCTTCGACGGTTATGTCGACCTCACCATTGCCATCGACAATCGACCCCACCATTGAGAAGTCGAATGGAAGACGGCAAAGAAAGTTGCACCCCGCCAGCACACCACTGCGGACACTAACGCACCACGCCACGCCCCAGCACGACCATCAGCCTCCACCTCACTCCCTCCGGGGGTACCAATGGAGATTGATGCCACCAAAACCATGCCCTGCCAACCTCTCACAAAAGAGGAACGCAACCGTCGTTTCGCCCAGGGCCTATGCTTGTACTGCGGTGGTGCCGAGCACACCATAAAAAATTGCCTAAATATGTCAGAATGTGCAAAGAAGAAATTCGATGCACATACTGACTCAGGAAAAGCATATCTGGCTGCCATCTCGTCCCAGGGCATCTGGTTGTAGATGATGGGACATGTCAGAATCACCTTGCAACACCGGATCCCACTCACATCCGTCTCTCAGACGGACACTATACCCCGCTCGTAAAGTCTGCTCCTGCCTATGTCTTTTCTTCGAATTCATACTTAAACTCTCCTTTGCATTTCTTTATTTCTGTCCGTCTTTCATTTACTACCAGAAAACCTATTGACACTTTCGCCCTCGTCAATTGTGGTGCCACCACATCTTGCATTTCTGACTGTTTCACCTCCCGTCATTCCCTTACGTGTCGTGTCAAAGAGATGCCAATACCTATCATGGCGGTTGACGACCATCCTATTGCATCTGGGCTGATCACCCATGATGTCATCTCCCATATCTCTGTCTCTGATCACAAGGAGATTCAACCACTCGTGGTTGTATCTGTTGCTTACCCTCTCATTCTAGGTCTAGACTGGCTTCGCCAGCATAACCCCAACATCAATTGGGCAGAATCCACTCTCTCCCTCAACTGTTGTGGCCTCACTCGCAAGAACTCCATCATCATCATAGCAAAGGGCTTCAGTCCTGCACTACCATTAACTGCCTCAACACTAAACTCCTCGACCACCATTGGGCTAGGCCTTGGTCTACCTGACGCCACCTCTTACCTGTCTCACGCATGTGCAGCGCCTCAACCATCATCCACAAAGCTACCCAAGACTGATCTGGACCCCAGTCCAGGTAGACCCACATCCTCATTCCTCTCTGCCCTCATCTCCCAGAATGGCTATGGTCACTCTGTCCCTCCTAGCTTGTACCCACCAGCACCCCAAATTCATTTCATATCAGTGAAGAAGTTCGCACAAATGGCTCGCTCAAATCCTGACGAGGCTTGCCTCCTCCACTACCATCATCCACACTCCCCTGCCTACATTTGCACCACCTCGTCATTGTCAATTGACACTGTCGACAACGAAGTCCTGACAGTTCCCCTTGTCGACAACAAAATCCTCAAGGCTATCCATCCCAAGTATATGGACTATGCCTCCTTAGTCTTCTCCCCCTCCAAATTTGACAAACTACCCCCACATCGAGCATACAATGTCAACATCGAGCTCAACAAAGGGAAAATGCCCCCTTTTGGACCTCTCTATCACCTCACACCCCCAGAATGTGAGGCACTCGCCAAGTACGTTCATAAAAACCTCGACCGCGGGCACATTCGCAGCTCTACCTCATCTTCAGGTGCCCCAGTCCTCTTCATTCACAAGAAGACCGGTGAACTACACTTGTGCATTGATTACCATGGTCTCAATGTGATCACAAAGAAGAACCAGTACCCCGTTCCCATTGTCCACAATCTACTTGATCAGATAGAAGGTTGTAAAGTTTTTTCCATTATCGATCTTAAGTCTGCTTACAGCCACCTTTGCATTGAAGAAGGTGACAAGTGGAAAATGGCATTTCGGACACCACTCAGACTTTTTGAACATCTTGTTGTCCCTTATGGTCTCACTAACACTCCCACTGCCTTTCAAGCATTTATTCAGGACACCCTCCACGATCTGCTGGACATTGTCTGTGTCGTCTACTTAGACGACATTCTGATCTTCTCCTGCTCACAGGACGAGCACGACAAACATGTACGGCTCGTACTAGACTGGTTACACGATGCTCACCTTTGTGCCAACCCTGCAAAGTGTGAGTGGGACAGATCAGAGGTTGAGTATCTGGGCTACGTCATTGGTACTGATGGCATCAAGATGATCCCAAGAAACTTGATACCATCGCCTCATGGCCCACGCCCACATCTGTTAAGGATGTTCAATCATTTTTAGGGTTTGCTAATTTTTATCATCGTTTTATTGATAGTTATTCGCACATCACTCAGCCGCTCACTAATCTAACCTGAAAGGGTATTACTTTTGAATTTTCTAGTGCAGCTATAGCTGCTTTCAACATGCTCAAATGGGCCTTCATGTCTTCCCCCATCCTCCAGCACTTCAACCTGCAGAAACCCTGCATGGTTGCGACTGATGCCTCTGACTTTGCCATCTCCGGTGTTTTCCAACAACCAGACCCTGACAGCCATCTTCGTCCTGTGGCATTCTATTCCCACAAGCTGTCCCCCGCCAAAATCAACTACGAGGTCCACGACAAGGAACTCCTTGCTGTCATGGACACTTTTCGCGACATGCACGTGTGGTTACCTGGTTCGCCCTTTCCAATCTCTGTCATCTCTGACCACAAAAACCTCGAATATTTCATGTCCTCATGCATGCTCAATCACCGTCAGGTGCGTTGGGCGATATTCCTCTCTGACTTCAATTTTTCACTAGCCTGGGCCCCAGGGAAGAGCAATATCGCTGATGCTCCTTCTCAGCGGCCTGATTTCCTCCCAAAAAAGGGGGATGAGACCCTATTGGGTCAAAATCATGTCATACTAACACCCAAACACACAGATTCATTATTCTCAGTCACTCCCTGCCTTAACGCTACCACTACCCTCACCATCGACGACTCAGCCCTCCTCGAACACTTCAAAGCAGTAATTTGGGAGGACACTGAGTGGCATGACGCACTCACGTGTGGCAACACAGACTTCACCTCCGAGGGTGGTCTGGTGTTCCACAAGGGAAAGCTTTTTGTCCCTTCCTCCTTATGCACTGATACCCTATTCTCCCAACACGATGCTGTCATAGCAGGTCACCCAGGACAAAATCAGACATTTGGACTGGTTGCATGAGACTACTCATGGCTGGGCTTGCAAACCTTCGTCAGACGCTACGTTGAAGCCTGCAACACGTGCATGCACATCAAAACACCTTGCCACAAGCCTTATGGCTTGTTGCAACCACTGGACATTCCTACCCATCCATGGAAGGCAATATCCATGGACTTTGTCATCAAACTCCCGACATCTCACGGATACGACTCTATATAGATTGTTTGTGACTGCCTCACAAGATGCGCTGGAACAGTGCACTCTGGCACCAGCATGAGAGCAGACAACATGAGGCTAAAACCTCCAAGATGTGAGAACAGTAAAGACCAGAACAGCCAAGGCCTAGGCAAGCACAGGCAATGCCAAGCAAAAGCCTCACAAAGCTATCACACAGCAAAAGCTGGTGGAAAGTGGTGTATAACCTAACCCCCTAAGACATGTGCTATATATGTGCTATCTATGACCTCAAACACCTCTCCAGGACCCCTGGCACCTGTCCCTGCCAAACCCAACCACTACAGCGCCCACTTCGTCCTGTGTCAAGAAACACTATCAGCTCCTGATCTTGCTTGGTTGTTCCTTGATTCCATCTTCTGTTTGCACGGACTTCCTGACTCTATTGTTTCTGACTGTGGCTCTGTTTTCATTTCCAAATTCTGGTCTGAACTAACATCATTACTAGAGATAGATACTCGCACATCGACAGTGTACCATCCGCAGACTGACGGTCTGACGGAACGCACGAACCAGACGATGGAGACTTACCTCTGAGCCTACTGCTCTTATCAGTAGGACAACTGGGTTGATTATCTCTCTCTTGCTGAGTTTGCATTCAATAATCTCAAGAACACCTCTACACGTCAAACCCCATTTTTTGCTAACTATGCTTTTCACCCAACCTTTGAACCACAGGTCACCAAACGCTCAACTGTCCCCGCGAAGAGCTGCGTGCTGAGTTACAGCTCGCCCAGGGCGCCCAAGCCAAACACTACAACAAAAAGGTTACAGTGGCGCCAGAATTCAAACCTGACCAATTGGTCTGGTTGCTGCGCCACAACATCAAGACCACATGCCCTTCTGTAAAGCTCGACCATTGTCGGCTGGGCCCATACCCCATTATTCGCAAGATTGGTTCCTCTGCTTACTTACTCCGACTCCCTTCCTGTCTGTCTCATCTTCACCCCATTTTTAATGTTTCCCTTCTCAAACCTTATGTTGACTCTTTGGAATTCCATGCTCACTCATCACCACTGCCTTTCACTCTCGCTGCTGACCCTGCCAACAACATCAAAACCATTCTCAACTGTCGCAAGACTGGACACCATTATGAGTATCTTGTTAGGTGGAAGTCAGTGTCACTGCCCGAGTCAGATAATTTGTGGCTCCCTCTTTCTGACATCCCCACTTCGTTCAATGAGTTGATTGAACATCATCGTCGTCGCCATCTGCATTCTCCACGCCCTCATTTATTTGACATTAATAAGAACTACCATGCTGCCCTGTCTACTACTGACAATATTCTCCCTTCTTCTTCACAGGTCCCAGTGCCAAATGCCATGCCTCCCGAGCCTCCCATGCCTGCCCTTGCTGCTGTCCCTCCTGCTGCTGCCCATCCTCCATTGCCCACCGCTGTACGTCAGAGGTTGAGATCTGAGTATGTGCCCCCTATGCAGACTACGACCTGTGGGGGTCATGTCTCATGTCCTGCCGAAAGGCTTGACCTGTAGACTCATCCTCACTTGCTCTAGAAGGGGGATGATGTCACGGTCATGGTCACTCTACGAGGTCTACGTAGTCCATGGCTATTCTACTTAGCTCACAGTCTCTTTACAGTATCAGCATTGCGCTGATGTACTCTGTTCTGTGTGGAACAGCTCGTTCAGATATTTATGGACTTAGTATCTCACTGACGTGTTTACTATACCCGGTCTCATTCCTATGTTTCACCTTACATTATCATGTTCTAGATACTTATATGTGGCTGGGAGATTTGTACCTGTTTCTTCATCAAATCAACACCAGTTCCTGGTCTCTCTCTCCTCGCACTTCTTGCCTGTTCCCTCCACTCATTGAGCACCCATTACAGACATGGATTGTTGGGGGACCAGTTTCCCAACAATCATTCAGCTTTTGACATCTCTGGAAAGTACATATATAGTACTACCACATTAATCGCATATCCGAGACCGTGAGAATCTAGAACAGTATGGGTTGTCACATCAGGTGCTGGTATAGTAGTTAGTCAAGTCAAGAGGTAGGGGAAATTCAAATATCTAATATCAACCTGGACAAACTTTGCATGCCACCACCACCATTATAGTGTTATGGTCACATTAATTAAACCATATATAGTAATTACTTCCGACTTTCAACGGCCAAAATAATATGAAGAACATTGTTAAATGCGAGTGATTGAAGTGAGAGCACAATGAATGTGATATTGTAGTTGCGAGTACAAATTGTAGACTACGATTATGTGAATTCAAAGCATAGAAAGCATAATAAAGGCACTACGAATGATATCAACGGATCAAAAGCAACTCAGCGGATCAAACATGATAGCGAAGGCAAAAAAATTGACAGAATGATTACACAAGTAAAGTACGTGCAGTCTGAAGAGGTTTGATAGCAGTGCAAACACACTTGGATGTCATGGGTCCCGCAGATGCCGTTGCTGAGCGTTTGAGAGAGTGAGAACCTGAAGTTGGCACATTCTCCTTCCCCTTGTGCGAAGGTTGCCTGCACTCTGTCAGGATGCCAGCAGAGGCCTGTTCAAGCTCACTCAACTCCATAGACTCCCAGACACTCTCAGGCAAAGGAACACTGGCCTCTCTGCATCCAGAAATGGCATACTCTTTGTGCTCACTGAGAATATGGGCGGTCATATTGTAGCACCAGACACTTGAGACGAAAGCAACTGGCACCTTGTGTGAAGTTTTCCCAGGTTCAGGAGGGAGGGTTGGATAGCATAGACCGCACTTCAAGGGTACGTTGCAGCAGGGATTGTTCTTGGATCCATGATCCGCAAATCCATATTTGAACGTGTGTCGGTAGGCACACTTCGTTTCCCAGTCTGGGGTGCCGCTCGTAGGCACCTTGATGGTGATGGCACATTCGGGAAGTCCAGAACAGCTGCAGAATCTGCATGGAAGAGCATCACCAACCTTATTCAAATTAATTAATCATGTAGAGTAGCACTTGAAACAAAAACATACCAGTTCTTTCAGACTGATCTTCTCGGGTGTGTTCATGGACTCGTGCAAGATATGCTGGCCAATATGGGCATGGATATTGGTGACTTTCGTGTTGCAGAGGGGGCAAGTAGTGATACGCTCGCCTTTGGATGCAGATAGAAGATGGCCTGCTTCGATCGAGATGATAGCTAGTGTACCTGACAAGAATCATTAGTGACACATGTTTCAATTGATGTGATCAAAGACATACCATCGTTTGAGCGATAAGGGAACATATCAGCGTCTGAAGGGGAAACTTGTGCAATGAATTTGAGAGGGACTTTAGTTTTGACAGCCTTCGCCCATAAAATGTCACAAGCAGCTTGAAGTGCATCTTGACGTACTTGCCAAGTGCTTTGCCCACCTTTGATCTCCTGGAACTGGTCAGAATTGATGTCATTCCAAAACCAGATAAATGTTGGCTCGGGATTGACAGGTTCAATGAGTGAACCAGGCACACTGATAACCATGACATGTTCTGTTGACTCCTCGGTTCCAGGGATAATAGAGCAAGCCTTCACATAGCCTCCGTTCCATAGGAAAGATGTTGGGGACTCAGGTGAGGGACGTGCTGGAATGATAGTCAAGAGCTGTCCTGTGACTTTGATTGTCGATTGCGAGGCCTTCATGACGGCAATGTTCATTGATGCACAAGAAATATTGAGTGACGTAATGAGTGTTGACCGCAAGATTCCGATAGAGAGTGTAAGACCTGAATGAAGAATTGTAAGGAAGATGTCGCCGACAAGGAATGAGTGTTGATCAGTGATGCGACCAGCAGACATTTCAATTCATTTGTTGACCTTGGTGTAGCCCGCACGAACCCGCTCCAGTCGATTGTGAGACTTGGAAATGACATTCTTATTGATGACAAGACGGCACACTGTCTGCTTGTGAATCCACTGGCCTTTGAACAATAGGTAGTCATCAGGACATATTCCTGGGCCTTCAGGCAATGGGGGAGCAGATGGGTCAATGAGAAGCAGAAGATGTCTGGTACTAGGTGGAGCATCGGAAATGGACTCCATGGTCAATGCCTCCTCAAAGGTCAGCATGACTTCTTCAGAGTCAGCCTCAGCAGGTGGGATTGGGTAAGAGTTTGGTACTACATTATCATGAGAAGTGACAATGGGCACAAGTGGGCTATGGCACAAGGAGGGAGCTACATCTGGTGCAAAATTATACAACTTACCTCTGAGGGAGGAGTTCCTCGTCTGCCTCTGAAATCTCAAAGTATTTGTTTTCTCCGAAGGGCCACAGCATGTCGATAGCTGGATCATGGAAGAGCTCAATGAAGGAGAAGTTGATAGGATCAACTTGCGAAGTACTGAGAATAGAAATAGCCATTTCCTGGCCATTGCGCCAGGCAGTTGGGAGATCACACCGCCCAGAGATGATGTCACCTTTCCACATGTCATGGTTGATGTGGTCTATGTCCTCGACTCAGGTGCCCAGGCTCAGATGATGATGGCCTGGATCCAGCTCAGGATGGCGCTTGAACACGCCATCAATATCTTTGGCGGCACCCAAATGATTGATCACCTGTGAAAAAGAGCATCCAGAGTTATGGCCACCTATCATCTGAGTGCGACTGAAATGAAGTTCTAGATTGTCATCTCTGGAGTCACCAAGAAAAAAGGAAGCATGCGGATCAAGAACCTGTTGCTTCGCTATGGAAAACATAATGTTCTTGACCGTGGTGTGCATGTCGTAGTAGAGTTGATAAGACATGAAGGAGCATCAGTGAGAACGGAAGAGGGTGAATGAAAGATGAGTGAATCAGCTGAGATACTGGACCTGTTCTGTGAGCGAAAGATTGACATTGATGAAGGGAATGAGGAAAGACTCGATCACATCACTAAGGAGTGCGATTGACATCAAGTCAGCATGTCTGTCGATGTTGGGAGAAAACAAGTCATCCAGGAAGTCATGCTGTGACTCAGTGAACTTGATGATAGCTTTAATAAGTTCTACTGCTCGGGGGACATCTTGCAGATCATCGGGATGCAAGAGTTTCGTGACACTGGCTTTGTCATAAGCAGGCAGCCATACAAGATAGCAAGAGAGCATCATAGCATTGATGATCCATCTATTGTTGAGTGTGATGCCAGAGGGAGAGCGTATTAGTGTGCATACACCTAAATTAAAGGAATTGTCAGACTGGAAGACTCAATAAACATTGAATAAAAACTTACATTTGAAAATATGCTTTGGATCAATGTCTAGTGTTACATCGTCATCACCTGTCCACATATTCAAGCCAGGCATATTGATGAGTATACCATATAGCAGTGACTCCAAGGATAAGGGCTTCTTCACAAAAAGTCTATGTCCTGCTGCATGACGAGTAGCATCACCATCGGTCACAAGTGACCAAATCGGCCCGACAGTCACCATTGTCCAAGGCAACATTGATTATTTGTTGGAGGCAGGGGATGTCGTATTCAGAAATTGCCATGAGAAGGCGGTGGTAATCATCAAGCCTAGTGAGAGCACTGATATACTCGCGAGAAGCATTAAGGCCCTGAGTTGGTGTTGAATTAGCAAGGATGCATGTACGGAATGAGAGTAAACATACCTGGAGTCTCAATTGCCGAGCTTGATCGGCATAGCTTTGCACAATGTCTTGCATATTTGCGAGGCCTAGATACTTGTAGTTAGTATGAGGCTTCGGATCCCGTGCAGTTTGGGAGAGGTGGTCAACATGTGCAGAGAGTTCAGCGCATTCGCCGCAAGGTGAACCCTCGATCAAGGCAGACCTGAAGCAACACTTTGATCAAATATAAGGTGTGCTAGGCTGGGTGAAATTGATGACGAAGGGGAGCCTGTCCGGGCCATCATGATAGCATTCCCAAGGGAGAACCATGATGAAGGGAGAAAGTTCCTGTGGCCAGACGACCAGGAGTCCAGGACAATTGTCAGGATGAGCAGCAGGAAAATTGCTGGGAGGTTTGTTCGATTAGTTGAGACAAATGATGAAATGAAACCGAAATGAAACATACTACATGCTTTGATCTGAGGTAAATGATGAGAAATGTGTGATCGGTTCATCAGACACGTTCCTGGCTTCTTTGTGCCTTTGAGAAATTGTCCAGAGGCATTTCTTACTGCCTCGATGGGCACTCAGAGCGTTGAAATGTCCAGTGTCCCACAGAGGAATTCCAGATGGGAGACTTGTTTGACACCACTCCTCACAGTCAGGGCAGCAGATACTCCATCATTGCTAAGCACCAACATGTGTGAGCAATCAACCAGCACAGAACACCTGGTAAAGTCCCTCAGTTGTATTTAATGCCAGTTGTTCAGCAACGTTGATCTCCAAGATTGGGGGATTTCTCCATATCTCTGGTGAGGCAGATCAACTCAGAGATGACTCTGGAAGCCAGTAAGATGAGGGTCCTTCGCTGTCTGGTAGCACAGCAAAGTCCGAGATTGGACTAGAAGAATATCCAGATGACTGGTCTGTGTCAATAAAATCTGATCTGTCATCTGTCATGTGATTTGATCCGAATATGTGTGTTCTGATATTAATACGAGCCAAGTTGTTACTGTAGTAGTTCTGTGCTGTAGAATACATAATGCGATAACCTAATGTAAGTCTAATGGTTTGGTGAAAGCTGCTAGGACAATGGAGAGGTATCAGACATTAAGAACGTGTTGACAAGATGTGTCACATTGATATTGACGCATCATGTTGCTTATTGCATCACATGTTCTCAAAATTACATCTAGAAATTATTGTTCCTTTATCAGTGTGCCCCAACGCGCACTTCTTATTAAAATAAGTATCTAGATGTATTCTATAGTACTGATTATATCACACTTTCTGTATTCAACTAACGATTTGACGTAGAACCTAGACCGCTATCGAGAAACTTAGAACTTAATTTTTGAAACTTCGGGTGGCTGTATATTAAGGTTTACAAGCTTACTAATGTCGAGCCCTATATCCGGGATTTGCCTTTTGCCCAGACCTCTTGAGTCAAGTCAAGTTATCTCGCCTATGCCACTCCTTTCCAATCAGATCCAATCCATCACCCAGTTCGGACATCGTGAATCCGAGAATTCATGTTTACCACAAAAGCATGATTCCCTGTACCTATTCGACGGTAACATTGTCCTCACGGCCCCAACTAAGTCTGGCGGAACGACCGTATTTCGGGTCCACCAATCAATACTGTCCAATCATTCACCCATCTTTGCAAATATGTTGAAAACCCCTGTCAGGGATGAAGTACAAATGTACGATGGCATTCGACTAGTGCGCCTCACTGACGATGCCGAGGAGATCGAGTCTGTGTTCAAGTTGATGTATATTCAGTCGTAAGTAAGCTTTCTCCAACATATTCAGCGATTGATTTGTGCCGCCTTTCTAACTTAGTCCTCTGGTACTATCTCAACGCCTGAGTAGACATGTGCCTCCGATAGTGCGCCATGTTCTGAAGCTATCGAACAAATACGAAATGAGCGAACTTCGCCAAGCGGTTGTTCAGCTGTTGGAGACTCAATGGCCGACGTCGCTATCGCAGTGGGATCGACTTGAAAGCGAAATAGCAGTCATGGCATGGGATCAAGATTACAACCCTATACCACTTGACCTCGATGACAGCCTGCCAGAACCTGCTTTGGCAATAAAGCTGGGCAGAGAATTCCATATTCCAAGCATAATGCCCGCTGCTTTCTACCATCTATCTCGTCTCTCCATTGGCCGCCCGCTCCATGTCCCAAAAGATTCGCTGCGACAACGCACCGCCGACTGGAACCTTCTCACAGCAGCCGACTTGATCTGCCTGATTATGGGAAAGGAAGGTCTGTCGATGGTTGCCGCTTCAATGTTAATACCGGATTGTTGCGGTGATAAAACTGTGAAGACCCATTGGATGGAAGAAGACTGTAGGGGATGCAGAAGGTCGGAGATGGTGGAGCAAATTCGTTGGGAGTGTAAGCGCACGTCGGACGTTCTCTCGACCCTTCGTCAGTACTTGACGATAGAGTCACTGTTGTCACCAATGTGTAAAACATGTTCTCGTATCATCAAGACCCAGCTGAGGGGGGTGCGACAAACGCTATGGGCTATGTTGCCCCTTCTGTTTCAGTTGGAAGTTTGACTCGACACTTTTTGCGATAGGATACAACTCTAGTGTTAAGGATGTACATATGTTAACTGCAATCTCTTCACAGGATCAATGAGCCTCCGAGAAAAAGCGTCATGGCATTGATAACGAGTCACCTCTCCCCTGGAAAATGGGGACATCAGAAAATGACACTAGAGGTGAACAACAGATTTACCTAGGAGCATGAACTGCGACAACACTACTACCCAAACACTTGGAACAGCTTTGCACAAGTCATCAGACAACATCCATGCGGAAAGAAGACTGACTTGTTCATTCCGCGCTTTGTGAATATCGTGGATGATGTGGCTGTCGAAAATCTGTGCTCATAATAAAGCTTCTTGAAGGAATGGGCGTACGTCAAGAGCGGTGACAAGGGGAGGGAGAAGTTGAAGAATTTCAAGGGAGTCTAAGCGAGGACAGTGCGGGGCGCAACGAGTTCGGTGCTGTTTCATCGGTGGGGCGGAGGTAGAGCTTGAGAAGAGTGTGACTTATTTTGAATTATACATCCGCCTGCAGTACCTATGACAGCGTCACCGAGGGATCGGGATCGAGAATATAGCAGAGAATAGACATACTCTTCGGCCTAACTTGTAAACATGGAGCTAAAGAGCATGGTCATGCCTTACCACACGGCCCGACAACACAGCTCGCGCTTGGTAAAGATCTGCAGGGTATAAGCTCAATATTCATGGGAGTATCAGTCTGGAACTGGCTCTTCAACAGTAAACCATGCAAGCGATCGATGAAACGAAGGGGCTTCGAGTGAACGTCCGACCCATTGACTAACGGAAATTTGGTGAGAACCGGCAAAAATCACGATTAACCTTTGTCTCCTCGTTTGCGAGCACTCAGCGTCATGTTCAGATAGAGCTCTGCCAGCCGATCATGGAATACGGGACTCTCTCCGCCTTTCTCATCGATTAGATACTCGATATAACAAGTAGACATGGTGGGGTCAATCTTCTCGAGGTAATCTGTTACTTGAGTTCGAGGGAGTTTAATGTCGTCAGATGTAGATATCTTGGGTGAGACAAACGATCGTCAGCAAGGAACTAGACAAATTATACACACAAGTGTCACCTCGAAAGCCGTATCACAGTCGTTTCCAAGATCCAGCGGGAAGACTCAAATACTCGGCGTCGACGTACTTGGGACCAAGTTTTGGCAGGTAAGGCAGGTAGGATATGACAGATCGAGCATTTTCTCTCATGTCCGCTTCCTTCTCGTTCGACCCTGGGCAAGGTCATTGGTTTGCAGGCGTGATCAAGTAAAAGACATCAATGCTCACTGATTATGAGCCTTAGCATGCATCTGCTTTCCATTGTAGAGATGTATCAGCTCTGCGAATGTCTGAGACAACTGGTAAATGCTACGTTTGAGTTGTGTACAGTTTGACGCACCTCTCGTGCCCGAAGCTCCTCTGATACCTCACTCCAATTGGCCAATTGACAAAGTGCACCGAGGAGGGCCGGTTGAGTCGCAAGATACTAAGACTTGACGAGCGCTGTGTCCACAATCTGTGCAAACCGCACAAGCCGCTCCGGAGTCGACAGAGGCAAAGGGATGTTTGGCAATGCAAACAATTATTCGGTCGAAGTCTCGGAGAGGAGAAGCCACTGGCGAGACTGAGCAGGTGCAATGTGTACTGCCGCGAGTCACCGCCTGCGAATTTGGGATGATGATAGGTAAGATATCACCATAGAGCGTCCACTGACCAGCTGAAGTCATCTAGAAAGTTTATTGACGTGACAAATCAACGAAGACAAGATGCCTGACTGACCTTTTTGTTTCATGGCTCGGCGTGCGTACGTGCCATTCGCAAAATATGCCCACTCGCCCATGATGCCCTGACTCCCCAGGCGGGCGCGGTGCAAATTTGAACACGTTTGCGTTGCTGCAGCGGGTCTGCCGCACGCTCCGTACCATTACCGGTGACAACGCGGCTGCTAGTACTGCTGGGCTTGCCAGGTCGAGGTCGGCCTCTCTTTGGCAAGCCGTCCGAGGTCAGGACGCCCGGAGTAAGGTTTGACACGCAATTTCGCGAAAGCAACAAGCAAGAGTCGATGCAGAAGATTTCGAGAAACTCAAGCAGGAGAGAATGATTCTCGTTGTGTACGTGTGTTTATCTTATCTCCTAGCGCGCACATGCTCGCCTTCAACCAATTGTCAAGTTGCCTAGAAACGCCATAGCTATCTTAAATGACCTGGTAAGACTAATCCCCGCATTCCTGACTTACTGTTTTCTTCATCTTTCTACAGCAACACCCAACGAGTATATCCGCGGCGCCACCCTACGTTTCCTTCTAGAAGATATCTAAAGGTGCTGAACTCCCTGCTGCGGCAGCTGTCTTGAGCACCGTCGCTCATCCGTTCGCAAGAACGCCGTATTCGCCGTGTACATTATCTACCACGAATACGAATACCTCATCCCAGATGCTCCTGAGCTTATGCAAACTTTCATCGCTGCAGAGTCTGACGCGACGTGCAAGCGTAACGCATTCGTGTTTCTCGCTCGCTCTGCGATACCGAAGGCTGTCGAGTGGGTGTACGATCAGCTGACAAGTCCGATAGACGAGCTCTTGCATATGAGCATCATAGAAGTTACCAGGCTGTATTGTAAGAATGATACGACCCATCGAGTGAGCCCTCTTCACGTTGAGTTATCTTGCTTCTCCTCCCTTTTGTCGTCTTGCAGTCGTGATACATCAGATGCGCGTTTGAGTTGTTGAACTCATCGTCGCACGCATCAAAGCATGACGCTGCTACCACACTCACCGCACTCACGCAGAACCCGGCTGCTGTGAAAGGTACGTTCACGATAAGGTCGCGTGCACATGTTTGCTCATCTTAGTCCTCAATAGCCGCATCGTGGTTGGTCTCGCAGTCCTCCACGTTGCTGTGGTCCAGGACTGATTTTGGGATAGGCCCTGGAGTCCAGGCAACTTCTCATCCAGTCGATCCACGTATTAGCGGTTAAGTTTTCTGAGGTGGCTGCAAGCGTCGTCCATGCACTCATGGAATTCCTCGGGGACTCGAACAACCCCTCTGCGCTGGACAACTCTCCCTTTGTCTGGTTTATTTTTTCCCTCCTGATTTCCGCATCTTATTTGACTAACATATGCACAGCGAAGTGGTCGAGAAGTTACCGCATCTCCGGCAAAGCTTCTCCAGTGCAAAATTTATTTTCTCTCTCTCTCCAATTAACGCTCCCTCTACGCTGAAGAATACACGTGCGCATAGACATCTGTGATAGGGAGAGTCCTAGAGCACGGTTGAATGTGGACGCGGCTTTTCGAACAGCGCCGCTCATTTTCATTGCAGTTTCGAGGAGTAGTCGATCGGTTAGCTTGGTATCCGCTTCCTTGCACTATCTTATATGTGCGGTCTGCATCCTCCCTCGCAGATATCAGGTATTTGGCATCATCTGTGTTCGCGTCCAACTAACATCCCGAATCGGATGTGTGCAGCATGGAAGTTCATTTCCGCGAGATTATAGACCTCGTATGTACCTTCACTCATCTAATCGAACTGAGCTAATCTATTCGGACCCCCAGCCTGGAGCCGACACACACAGTGCCGTCCCTAACTCCTCGCTCATTGTCGCATGCACAGCGACCAAATTCAATACCTCTCGGCACACCCTTAACTCACGGCCGGTTTCGTACACCGAGGTCCAGACGGTTCTCCAGGGGCGTGGAATCGACCTCACGCACAAGTGTTTCATTATCCTGCAGGGTGAAGTCAAGTCTATCGCGCAGATGAAGCCTGAAGGCACTTCTGAGCACCACGACGGACTACTCGAGTGCCTAGAGGATATCATCGGTACTGCTGTGCTCAAAGCACCGATGTCTGCTTTTGTCGAAGTGGTTCGGCTGGGAGAGAAGAGAGCCGAGAATGCAGCCAGGTCGTGATGCGCCAGTCCCGACAACCCAATCAGGGCCGCAACGCTATTACCATCTATCTCGACTTTACCTCCCTCGGGCGCCTGAACTGTTGTCCTAACGACAAGGAGACGTGGTATGCGAGAGCCAAATCCAACTCCGAGTGCATCATGGGCGTCAAGGTCAGCTGCCAATGCAATCCTTGCCATGAGAATGGTCTTGCTGATATACTTCGAAGCAATAGCTAACCTAACCAAATAATGATCCCCCCAAGGTTTTTTTCGTTGCAGATCATTCACATGTATGTTGTCACTATCATTTCGATTTTGCGTTCTTAACCTCCGCGTTCTTAGTCTTCTGCACGACGTCGTCCTCGCTCCTTGGCACCGTCAGGCAGCACGTTTCTCGGTCGCTTATTCGGTCGCAGCTACTCCAATACTCATGATATCCGGCTGCAAAATCTCTCCCGCTTTGGGCTTGCCGCCACGAATGCTGAGAAGAAACGATTCTGCATGCCAGATAGTCGTGATGTAATCGCAGTAGAAGATGAAGGAGTCACCTTTACCTGTGGAGGTGAGTTCGGGGGGGATGTATTTGAATGTGAGGGAGACGAGGTAGTATCCGGGACCTAGAGACAAGTCATCTTTGCGAAGTTGACTGAAGACCCATGAAGCATAGTCTTTAAATTTGTGATTTCACGTCAGGTGTAGAGTGTGAATCTTTGGCACGACGAGTACTTTGGGTTGCGTTGAGTACATGCCAGCAGTCTGGGGTGTAGGCGATCTTACTAAAATGCCCCGCCCTATAGGAACACGTTGAACATTGTCTTCCAATTTCGTCCGAAGGGCCTGACGACGGTATCGGATTCGACGTCTCAGACTGAGTGATATCAAGCCCATCATGCAGACGGAGGTCAATTTTCCCGAACTCCCTAACGCAGCGCCCACGTCTGTCCGATTGGAGAGAATCAAGGAGGTCGTTGCCACATCGTGCTTTGAAGATAATTGTTGACAGAAAATGACTCCCCGCTGTTCGTGTACGATATCGCACCAGATGTTGGATGTGTGTGCCAAGTAATTCTATTATTTTCACTGACAAAGTTTGGGATAATTACAATGATTCATCTATAGCAGCGAACGATCGTAAGCTTAACAAAAACGAACGCACCAAATCAATCATCAGAGTCAGATGGCGTTGATACGTGAACGCGTGAACCGGGGTGCGAGTGAGTACATCGAAGTTCGCTTCAAAGACTTAGACGTTGTACGAGTGCAAGCAAGCATCAGTCAACCGAGGAGCATTTTCTGTTTCAAACTGATCAGATAATTTCCCACAGCTCTTGAGTAAGATGCTTGATTGCCTAGAGGTAGTTTATTGACTCAATACAGCTGTGACAGTTCAACGTTCAACGTTAACGTTCATGATCAAGTGGTAGTAGCAAGTAGCTTCAGTCCTGACATCTTCAAGTCACTATTGACCCTATTCCATGCTAGTTATCAGGTTGACTCCTGTTGATCCTCGGCACTTGCCGTAAACTGGCACCGTTATCTCTTGAAATTCGAAGTCTTGCCAGCCTCACAGTGCCACTGTGACGAAGGCAACACCCATCCAGCATACATCATGCCTGCCGCTATAGCAGATCGCACTGGCGTTAAGTATGATCACAGCTCTTATTCCTCCAAGGTCCCAAATCATCACTACAAACCCTATCCAACCAGAAGCTCCACCAATGCACAAGCGACACGCATTATCACCGCCAGCAGTTCACTTACTACCAACAACAAGCACAAACCCGACTTGAGGAACCTCAAGCTGAAGTCCGGGTCAAAATCCTCAAATTTACCACTCAAAGACAGCACTGCGGAATCTCAATATATCCAAACATCCCTGCCTGTGGAAGTGGAGGTGCCAGAGCAGAACAACTCTGACCCAGTTGAACTTCAAGTCGAAGAGGTCCCTCGGGCTACCTCAGCAGATCCATTGTATGATATTCAACAATTCTACCCTTCTGAACACTTTAGCCCGAGTATGTTCAATGGGAAGCAAGTGTTTATCGTATTCTGATTGTGTTGAAGATGTCCGGAAGATATTTGACTGGACTGACTCCAGCAAAAAGCCACATGGTGTGCCCTTTGTCAGTTCATGAGTCAAAAATATGATATGCTTACTATTATTACAGGAATTTCCTGGTGTGAGAGCGCAAGAATTCGAAATATTAGAACACGAGGTGGGAGCAACCGGCCGCGTGTTAACGAAGCCCAGGTTGAGTCTATTTCGGATATGCTAAATCGGGCGCTCAAGGCTGACTTACGACTATAACTCCTCACTGTAGACATGCCCACCATCCTGCATGAAGCGTTTTATGATGACTTGAAGCAATCCCTCACCCTCGCGATCCACAGTCTTCCTTACCGTCGCATGACTATTCGACCGCAAATTCACATGAATTACCCCCTCCAGATCGGGGACAAACCGTTCACGCCTGATTCAATTGTATCGTTGACGGCTACGCGGGGACCTACCGAGGTCGTGCACATTCTCTACATAGGAGTAACCGCGTTGACAGAGGAATGGGATCACGTTTTTGAGAAAATGGAGTCGATGATCGCTAAACATCCCGAGGTGATCTTAGCGTCGATTGTTTTAGTACGAGAAGTCAAACGCTACGCTTCTCCTTCAGAGGTGTGTACCGCGGCGGAGACGTTGCACAACCGTTGCGATGACGAAGAAGAAAAGCCTGAACCGTTTTTTCAGCACCAGAGTTTACTTTTCTCTTTTTCGTTCACCTTCTCATTACCCACTCTTAGCTCTGCCTCAGTTTTTCAGTTCTGCAAATGAGAAATCACTCAGGATGAGCATCTCATCCGTTAAGTCCGTTTCTTCGGTCATGATGCTGATTAGCTCCGCCTCAGGTATGCGTAGTGTATATTTGTATGGCTAGCTGTTTATTCACGGAATATCACAGATCCATTCTCTGGGGCTATTATGCAGGCAAGTTAAAGCACCAAAAAAAAACGCGGGGCTGCCAGGCTTACTTCTGGTCTTAGACGCCTTCCTCTCCTTTCGTTAGTCCAACTACTCTTACGTTCGGCTCTGGATCATTCGCACATAGCACTCAGATCGCAAGCGCCGTTGTCATTAGTCGCTTAAAGACTAGTTACACCACCATCGAGTACCGTTACCGCACAAATCTGAATGCACGCGTCCAGAGTCTCGATGCACCTACAAAGCATTCCTCAAGAGCAAGGTCCATTGTCAGATGCGCATCCTCAAAGCGGCTCCCATGATGAACGTGAAGCTCTCATTGACGTACTCGAATTGAGTGCCGATGCACTTGGAGCAGTCCGAAGCGTTTTCGTCAGGTGAACAAGGGTTCCAACTCTGAACTTGAGCCAGGGCGTAGGTTCGCCTGGCCGAGTTTGTCGCTCTTCACTCCGCCTCAATGTATTGACAATCATCCCATGTACATAGTGGCGTGCTGGATGGTTATACCGCGATGAGCCAAAAAATAATTTGTTAGTGGTTATTCTTTCATTTCATATCACTGAACTCAGGTTCAGATGCCTTACGTTCTTCACCTCTCACCAGTTTCCAGCTTTCCACCACTGCCCACGCCGGGCCACACCTTCGTTCGCCTCCTTCTGCTGGCAGGAAATAGTCGAAGAAGGACTTAGTTGACTTGCCGGTGTCGTTTCTTCTACCTGATGGGTACGTCGCGCGCATTATACTGATATGATGGGTGTGATCTTGAAACGTGAGCAGGTAAATGACAGCGCATATATCGTCGTCGTTCGAAATGCACTGCGTACGCGACTATAGACGATTCCGGCGAATGTTTAACGCCCGAGCGTTGTGCATTAGGAGTTGAGAGTCGCTGCGGTACGGCTATCCCTCCGTGCTGATCGCTGTGGTTTGCAGCCATGCGATTGGCGCGCCGAAGCGGATTAATACTTATGTCATATGAAGGTGAGTCATTAGTAGGCTTGTACGTTTCAGTAGACGTAATGAAGGCATCTCAGCCGTAAATGCCGGGTTTGCTTCCGAACCTGAAGACGACACGACTCTTCGTTTTCTGCTTTGCAAAACAATCTACCTGCGAAGATGCCGGAAAGCAACAGTCATTGTAGCATTTGCTGCATAGATGTTAGCAATTTGGATACTCATCGTGTGCAATTCCATTCGGCGTACTGCCGGTTCAAGTTCATCGAGCATCCCGAAGCACTTGTCATTGTCGCCCGCCGGGACGATGGCACTTTCCAATGCCCAGCGTGTCTTCAAGCTTTTGCGACTTATGCAAAGATGTACAATCATGGAAAGAGAACGAAGAATCCAATCCACATCGTTGCGGTGAATAGATGGGTCAAAGCACGTGTGGGTACATGTCAGCAGTCTGGGGTGTAGGCGATCTAACTTTCGGACGCAGGCAATTAAAGGAGAAAGTGATCTCGAGGATGAAGAAGAAGAAAATGAGCCTGAGGAAGAAGACGCTGAAGTCCGGATGTATGAAGAGGACGTTATTGACGACTCTTTACTGGCACCTGTAGATGAAGACTACGAAATGGCTTCGTCACCATTTTTGAGAAACCCGTATACTCCACTCACCTTTCCTGAATCCTCCCCTCCTGCCATCCCGGTTACACGGACTCATCCCAACAATTTGATCGTGGAGTCGAGCACTCAGGGCTCGGCTGATCGGGGCCTGCAACCCTCTCATCGGCAGCCGTCGACGGCAGTCTTTGCACAGCACGTGGCACAGAGTCCAAACGAAGACGATGACTTCGAGGTTGCTGCGCCACCTCCGTCTCAATTCACAAAGGTTGATCCCAGGACTAAGCCAGCACCAGCAAGGATCGAGACCGTTCTGAGTCAGTGTCACTTATATTTCTTCCTGCGTTCGAGACGCTAAATCAACTCTCGACGCAGACCCAGCCGACATTCGAGTCTTTGGTCCGCAGCCTGCTGATAGCAGGGGCATATTTGCTATTCCCTACGGTCACCCGTCCATCTTCACCTCGGCATTTCTGAATATGACTGGCTGCATCATATATAAACCCCTCGGGTTACTTATATGCATAATTTGTGAGATCGGTATCGCCACTAAATGTCTCTCTTCCCACCGACAGAAGCATCACGACGTGCCCGCGCTTACCGCCGAACAGATCTCGGCGTTGGAGGCCTACAAACTTCATGAGTCGAACAGCTTCGAGGACTGGGACAATGCCAGCCCCGTTGTTCCCGGGATCCCCTATCAAGAAGGATACATGTGCACGTTTCAGGGCTGCTGCTTCGCCACCATCTCAGAGCAGCGTATCCGAGCTCACGACAAGGATCATCTCACTCGCAACAATTGGAAGAGCTGCACTGTGCAGACTCTTTATGCCAGCATGCAAATAAAGTATCCGGTAGTCGTCCCTCACTCTCCTCCTGCGCTACATGCAGCTCCACCAGGGTCTCAAGATTTGCTTGGCCAGGTGGAATCCTTCTACGAGCAGCACCGCGTTCTGCACAAGGGACGTTTGGGACCGCCTATGGACAGAGCTCACCTTAACCCTTTTCTGGCCAAGTATAACTGGCTGGAGGTGATCAAGGATGAGTCGCCTTCTGATATCGTGGACTGGGCAAAGATGCCTGAGAGAAATGAAGGCGAGTTGACCGGCATCCTGCCCTGTTTTCAGCGTTATTTTGGCGAGATAATCAAGCTGCTGACCGATGAGAATGCATTTCGAAAGACTCGGATACTGCGGTCTGTCAACACCACAAAATCTCTGTGCGTTTTTTCCCTCTATCCATTCATTCTTGGCTGACAGTGCTATGACCCAGCCATGACCTCAATAATCGACCCTTCAAAGCACCGATGCGAAAGCAAACGGTCCACCGCTACGTGGCAACATTTGCAAAGTTGATCGCATTTGTATGTCGAGCAAAGGACGGTCATCTCAAACGTGCCAGCAATTCCACGGTTCGAAAGGTAGCTCTGGCGAGCAATATACAGCGCCGTAGCAAGCAACTTCTTATCAGCATGGACGAACGCCAGGCCGCTCATTCAGCTTCCCATGAGCTGGTAATGGCACTGCTGACGACACTGTATCCGCCTACGACGCCTCTTGAATGCCCAGGCAAGCTCTTTCTCATCTTCAGCTGCGTCAAGCTTTCCGGTCAAATACTGGATCCCATCCACATAAATCCAATTATCAGCGAGTTGAAATGGTGTTTGAGAGCCGCGGGTTTCTATCAGATTTGTCTGTTGTTCGAAAACGCTCCCACTTTGATTTTGGAGAACAATCCGCAGTCGTGCGTGTTACCCCTCTCTTGTCTTTGACTGATGGCTGACTTGACTTGACGAACAGTCTGATCGAAGAAGTCCACAGGTGGTTCCGGGATGATTGCATGAATCTTTTTGGCGACCTGCTGGAGATGGGACATTTTCTCTCGTTCGTCACTGCCAACACGTCCATGCTTCCCCGAATGATGTGGGCAGATCTTGAAGGCTCTGCTCTCAGTTTTGATGGACGACTTATTCCTATTGCCAATGTCGTAAATCTGTACCGCATCCTCATGGAGGAGACAAAGGTTCAGCTGTATGAAGTTGTACTATTGGGGTCTGCTTTACCGAACATCGATCAGGAGCACATTTACGATGATTTGAGTTGCCTTGATCAGGACTACTCATTTCTATCCGATAGAAGGAACCGGTTCTGGGAGCATGGATCAGCGTTGATGAAAGAAATGACGTCGACTTTCTCTAAGCGTTTTGTCGTGTCACGCAACTCTAGCGGCGTGGTGTGGCACCAGGGCCAAGTCAGGCGCTGGATGAGGGATTGCGAGGACTGTCTTCAGAAGCTTTTTCTTCTCTATCATCTGGGCTCTGGACAGCCTGCTCGAGGCACCGAGCTCGCCATCATGTGCTGGAAAAACACTAACATTCACCCTAGGAACGTCTATTGGTTCTCCGGCCATTTGAACTTCGTGTCGCGCTATAACAAAACTCAGACCAACCAGGAGAAGGAGCGGGTCATTTCCCGGAGCATGCCTCCAGAAGCTGCTCCGCTGATGATAGCGTACCTCACGTTCGTCCCAAAGGTTCTGGCCACCTTTGTCGCATGTCCGAACCCTAACTGATCTTTGTCTCAAAGACTTTAGCCGTGCTCGCTCTCTACCTCAGCTCCGATGGGCAAGACTTTCAGTCTTCCGCTGGGTATGAAGAACATCTGTTTAACGGGCTGCATGGGCCATGGGACTCGGACGACTTCTCCGACATCCTTATCGCCCATACCGGTAGACCAGTCTCCGAGGGTGGACTGGGTCATCCCATGGGCCTGGCCGACATTCGGCACCTTCTTATTGGCGTCATGCGCAAGAACTGCAAACGTCTTGTAGCTGATCTTGACTTAGAACACTACTTTGACGAGCAGAGTGGGCACCAGGGGGAGGTTGCAAGGGGGTACGCGGTCGACCACTCATATGTCCAGTCCGTCTCAAGCGATCACCTGCAAAAGTTTGTGGCTCTTAGCCGCGCTCATCACGCCCTTCTCTTCCCTCCAGCAACCCCAACCATTCCCGCATCTCCTTCTCGTATTTTATCCTCTGTCAACACGCAGCCGGTTGACTTTAACTCTTGGTCCCGGGTCATATCACCATATCTTAGCATATCCATGCTCCCGATCATCCATCATGCCATCGCTGATGGCATGGCCGTTTGCTCTCCCTTCTCACGAGCCTCCTCGAATATATCCCCCATCAACCAATTGCCTGCAGGCCAGCCTGCCAAGGAGACGCTTGTGCGCATTAATTCTAGCAGATTCCGGGACCTCCGGGCTCTCATGGGTCCCCAGGCAATGTTTCAATCTCGTGAGCAGGCAGAAGCGGTGGAGGTTCTGATGGGACGGAGGGCGCACGCCGTGATCATGCTGGGTTGGAGAGAGAATAGGAGTTTATTCTACCTGCTCCCAGCTGTCTGTCCTGAGGAAGTCAGTCTCACATCGGTCGTTGTGCTGCCAGGATCAGACTATATTCAGGCGCTCAAGGCCCAATTCGATCAGGAAGGCCTTTCTGCAGTGATCTGGTCCCCAGAATTTGGTAATCACGGTGCTCGGGCTGTCTTGGTCAGTTACGAAAGCCTGGAAAGTACGAGCTTCTGGACCTCCTTGGAGAACGCAAAGGGATCCCTTTCGAGGATAATTGTGGGTCAAGCGGAACACGCCTTCCAATCTTGGGATTATCAGTGTGCGATAGCTAATTGCGAGCGTCTCCAACGGTTGAAATTGCCCATCATCCTGCTCACTTATACCATGGCCCCAGCAGCTGCCCCCAAACTCCTGGCATATTTCAAAATAGACCCACTTGTGGCGCAAATCTGTCGTGGTCACACAGATCTTCGTAATATTTGTTTTTCTGCTTTTGAGGCCTCTCTGAGTAGTGAGCTTGAAGGCCCGTTGTCGACTTGTCTCAATAAGAGCCTTCAGGATCTCACGACGGAGACCGAGCTCATTCTGGTGATATGCCCGACCGAAGATGAGGCGGATCGAATGGCGACAATATTTTCCAAAGATGTCATTCACGCCCACCTAGCTCAGGACCGCATGGCTACGATACTTCAAGGCTGGAGGACATCAGGCGGTGACCGTCGTATTCTCTTCTCCTCAACTGCTCTTCCTCCCACCCTCAATGTTACAGATATCCGGGTGGTGATCCACTACCACGAACCATCCAACTTCATCCGCTATGCCGATGCGCTTGCTTTGTTGTGCCGCGATGACAGACCCAGTTACAGTTTTATCTTCTTTACGCCAGATGCCCGACCAAAGTCTTGGGATGGGGACGAGCCTGAGGCTCAACTCATGGGCGCCGGTGACGTCAGCCGATGGCTGCAGAAAAGAGCATGTCGGCGCTTGGCTTTAAGTTCGTTCTTTGGTTTCGAAGACAGTGGCTGCTGCCTAGATATCACAATTTGTCAGATATGTGATGTCTGCGAGGAGACGCTGCAGCCGCTAGACAACGTAAGTACCAAGCGTTTTCGTACGACTGAGTAGGTTGATCTATGTCACCTAGGCTCGCGGGACCAGTTCAGGTGGTAGTAGCACAGGCAACCTCACGCCTAGTACAGCTATTCAGATTTCCGCCGCCGTTGCATCCCGGATAGTGAACCAGACAGTGGTCACGCGTGCCATCACCCACCGCCATCAAAGTGACATGCTGAAAGGGTTGCGCCCCTTCAAAGATGTTTTTTCTGGTGAGGAGATTTGTGGGCTCTGTTGGATGCTCGACGATGTGCCCTATCACGCTATGGCACAATGCAAAGTACATCAAGAAATAATATCTGCCAGCGTTGCATACCACCGCTGGAAGAGAATCCTGACGCTCCCACCAAAGCACTGCTTCAAGTGCGGCCTTCCTCAAGTAAGTGTGTTGTATAAGCTCTCTCAACTTTCCTTAACAACGCTTGCTAGATCAGAGACATACATGATTTTAATACTATGGATGCACCCTGCACAATGACGGATGTGATCAGACCCATGGTTTGGACCTGTTGGACTTCGGAAGGACTTCGAGATAGGATGTTCAAGCAATTTCCGGACCTACCGCGGACAGTAGATGAGATGGGTTATGCGATATGGCTGATGGCGACTAGCTTGGAGAGCCAGCTACTTAATTTGCTCGAGGTCGCAGTATGGACGTTGACGCTTCATGCTCTACCGAAGAAGGCTGCCACTGGTGGACACCATTTGCAGTAAACCGTTGCAACCTATCCATTTCTGCCACGTACATATGATTTCACGCATTGTCGGTCTATAGGTCACTAGTAATACGGTATGTACATTACAGATACGGCCTTATTAACTTATTGAGCAAACACAGATTACATAATCATTACCTTGAACCCCTGACGCAAGACAACCAGTTGCCTGTTTGTCTTTGTTTGCAACACCGAATCTCAGATCTCAATATCGATAGTCACAATTCGATAGCCGCGGAATCATTACGGTAAGCCCCTTTCTGTCAGAAATCTAGTCAATCCCGTATCGACATAACATTAGATGTCTCGAGTAACACACACGGCTAGCAGGGGACCGTTGGCGATGAAAGGCGACAAAGTTTTAGTAAGTAATATCATAATCGGTGTCGCGTAGATAACATTTTTGCAGACTCAAGTAGACTTTTGGCTGAATGCAGTAAGATCGTCAGTAGACTGTTGCCGGTGGCTTACCCGAGTTGTTCAGCGACCCGACCAATCGGTCGCTAGAACACCTCGTCGGGTTGCGATCAAGCTTAAGCTCCGCGTCGTCGCGCGAAACATCGCGAACAAAGTTCAATCTGTACTTCGGGTGAGTGTTTTCGTTTAGCGTTACGATAATTTCTTACGATTACCTTAAGCTCCGCGTCGTCGCGCGAAACATCGCGAACAAAGTTCAATCTGTACTTCGGGTGAGTGTTCTCGTTTAGCGTTACGATAATTTCTTACGAATACACCTGTAGCTATAGTGCTTTATCGATGTCATCTTCCGTCCTTCTCCGCAATCACACCATGTATCATCAACTCATCTCAGACGGACACATTGCTAGAAGAACAGCTGTGTCATAGGGTTACAAAATCCTTAGCATCGATGCATATGCAGCAATTTTGTATCACACCATGTATCATCAACTCATCTCAGACGGACACATTGCTAGAAGAACAGCTGTGTCATAGCGTTACAAAACCCTCAGTATCTATGCATATGCAGAAACTCCAAAGTACATACAATTCACAACTCCACTATTAATGACAATACCCGGTTGTCCTACACCTGTATAATACCTAGCTACCATATCTGTCAATCATCCTTGATCATCATCCAGCTGGCAGGAACAAGTATGTTTGCTATAAATAGGTTCAGGGTTCGTCATAGCGGGTGTATTAGTATATATCACATATCATCGTGTGAACACCGCTGCATCGACAACTCGACTTGTCGCACCATGACCACAGCGGTACGTTCAATCGCAAGTCGCGTTAAAGCTGCATACTCAAGCTCTCATGCAAGTCCCAAGGTCAGAGTCTCGATCAGCAGATAGAGCTGCTGAAATGCAGCGTCCCCATATGGCCGACACAACTTCGGCGGTATACCGAAATACCACTGTTGTAAGTACCCATCGTTCAAACAGACATGAGCATGAGTACGTACTGACTTCATTTGTTACATAGGGAGCCTCGACATTACGATTATAATGTCGAGAAGATGCAGATCGACCCTGTTCGGTTTGTGGCAGTTGTTTGGAACTTGGCCAATTTAACCGTGATATCGATAGGCTCGGTGTTCAAGGGGATTGGAACGAATTTATCCACCCGTCTGGAGCAACGTATCACTACAATGCAAAAATGGTGAGTGCCGGCTGGTGTTTCACGTTACATACCCACTTTATAAGAACAAAGAAAACATACGCAGCAATGAACATGAGCGCTTGCTCAAATCATCAGCTCCAGCGGTTGGAATCTTGGATCAACGCATCAAGGAATAAACTCGACGGGAAACAATGGTTGCTTGTCGTTGAACCGATCTCCGTGAGAGGAACGGAAATCTACCCGTATTATTATGTCGTCCCGGAAGATCGCATGATCACATGGATAGAGCCAGTAGATGGTTACCTTCTATTCCAAGAGTGTACGACGGCGTGGCACTGGAACCACAAACGTACGTTACTTTTCGTGCCTTCATTCTTGAACTCAATCGCACAGGACTTGAGCTGGAGGCCCAGTATTGGTGAGTGATCGTCAATGGATGCCATCCCGCACTGGAATGATACTCACCTCTTGACTAGGAAACATGTCGAGTATTTTCCACATGGGATTGAAATTCGTCTTTCTGAAGTAAAAGCTTTGCGGGTTCGCTTGAACTGGTATCGTGTAGGCGAGTACTTTAATATTGTAGCGCCTGATCAGAATAACCTAAGCGAAACATAGAAGCGTTGGCGATAGAACAATCAACGGCAGCTGCGCTATTCTGGACTCTCGATCAAATGAAGGAGATGACTGCTGAGCTGGCCACTACCGGTACGTATCCTGATCTCAAACCCTGTGCAAGTCAGTGACCGAAACAGAGGAACTTGCCGGACCTGCCGGGATCATGGAGGAACCGAGTGTTGCAATCTGTGGTACGTGAGCTTTGGAAACGCCATGATTACGAAGTTCTGCTGAGCTGGCCACTACCGGTACGTATCCTGATCTCAAACCCTGTGCAAGTCAGTGACCGAAACAGAGGAACTTGCCGGACCTGCCGGGATCATGGAGGAACCGAGTGTTGCAATCTGTGGTACGTGAGCTTTGGAAACGCCATGATTACGAACTCATCGTAAACAGGCAAAATAATGCACATGCTTCGTACGACTTAGCTTTCCCATACCCGACGTCGTTGATTAATTGATCAAAAATAGGTCACCATGAATACCTGAACCATCATGGTCGACCCGAAGCTCGCTTAATGCGAACGCACTCACTGACAAAGAGACGCAACAACCTGGCGAATTCCCCCTTCATGACTAGCGCTGGCATCGTGATGCTTTGGACTCCAATAGTGGTGCTCAAGCAGCTCAGAGATATTTATGTTGAAGGTATCGTAAACGGGATCGACATCAGGGGATTTACGGACGACTTCAACGCCCAGTCCAAAGCTCAAACTACCGTGGTGAGCGTTATGTCGTGGACCTAGACGAGAACACTTACCTTTGACAGGCAAGCGTCATCTTGGCAGTCAACGCCAGCATCCTTGCGGTTCCGGGTTTGGGCTCACCATCCGCTACAAAAACGCTGTGCTCTATCTCATTTATCCTCAGTGTCTACTGCATTGTTGCCTGCACGATGGCACAGCACTTTGGCTACAGGCTGAGATCCCTTGATTTCGCGGTTCGGACCACTTTATCTATCCAAAAAAAATCTCGGCCTGACGTTACTAACTCAATAGGCGTATTACTTACAGGGGAAGATGGCGAGTCTTGCGGTCCTTGCAAGCATACCCAGTTTTCTGTATCTCACAAGGTAAGCAAAGCTTTGATCGCAATCACTAATTACTCACATTGTAGACCATTACAGCTTGGCATTTACTGTTCTCGGGTTTCTCGCAGGAATCTTCACAGGTGAATTCGGGCTAGCGTTATCTGCAAGGATCGTATGCGGGCTGGCCCTTGTTGTTGGGACAGGTCTCACGATTCCATTGATGATGGCCAGTTTTGGTCCTGGGCCGATTCGATGATGACGCACTGCATTGCAAAGGCCTGGACATCATGCAACAACTTGAGTAAACAATGAACGAAACAATCCGCCTTTATTCACACTTATTGGCGACTATTTGCTATGGTGGTCCAGCTATGTACGGCTAAATAACATGTATGAAATCCGTCGGTTCACCCCTTACGAGTATTGAGCGGGTCAGTCAGAACCATGGTGGAGTCTATAGCGAGTTAACTTGCATTGCACAAAGACTATCCGAACAGTGTGAATACTTGATAGATAGACAAACATAAACCTACCATAACATCCCATGAATCCAGAACCTACGTAGTACAGGAGGTGCTGTGGGTATGAGGCGAACCTACAAAACGAAGTGTAGTAGGTGCATGGGACACACCGGGCCGTGCAAAGCGAGGTTGAGGCTTCTAGAACGCGAACAGACTGCAGTGACAGAACGGTGGAGTGAGAGCTGACGACCTATCTGGAAGAAACACACGAAACAAAACAGAAGCACGTTCTGGATTGCGGGACGACGGTAAGGTACAAGCTAAGGAAAAGAGGTGTCTACGGTGCAATGAACCATGTGTATGCGTACGTGAGCCACCAGGCTTACAATAGCTCGGGACATGATCATGATTTGATGTTATTGGAACTGTGAAGCGAAAGCGCGAAACGAAAAGCACGAAACGAAAAGTGCGATAGTGAAAGTCGATATGAACCTGCGCCAATGAACGTCCCCGTTTCCCTCTTGATAAAATCCCCAAAACGCGCTAATGTTTTGCGCGCTTGTTGAGACCTCTGCTGCGGTGAGGTTTCTTCGTCTTGGCCTTCGGAAGCTTAGACTTGCTGGCCGCGGCAGTCTTCAACGGTGCGCTGCTGGTACTCGCCGCGGGTGTCACGGTGGAACCCACCATAATCGTTCTGAACACGTGATGGGAGGGAATGCGAGGACTCTTTGAGGGTGCTCGCACTGGCAGGTTGAGGATTGGAGTCATCTACCCTAGCCACGGAGCTATGATCCTCCTCTGATTCCGATGGGGCGTAAGACGAATCTGCTTCACGCCTCTGAAAAGAGCCGCATGCCAAGTGAGCAGTAAGATCCACCGCGGTCATGACTCCTAGCGCGCTAAGTTCCCAGTCAATGGGGAAGGGTGGGATGACAAAATTTTCCAGAATGCTCGCAACAATACTCGGCTACATGCAGCAAATTTCGTATATAAGCTGTATGTGCAGCTTGTGGCTACCGTTTGTAGAGGAGTTTCATACGAAGAGAGGAGCCGGAGAGCTGGTACAAGGTTTAAGAGATGTTCGAGAAGAGCATGTTATCGATCATAGGACGCAGCGGCGATAGTTGGTGATTTATTTTCCTGGATCTAGCTTGCATATGCACTCGTGTGCTCTTCGAGTGGGCAGTCCTGCAGAAGCACCACGCAAGTAAAAGTCCGGTTAATAGGGTTCTTGTTGTGTTTCTCCTTGTCGCTAGCTCAATCAGGTCGCCAAGTAGTATATAGTGCCTGTAGATAGAACTTGAGACACCGCAATTGAGGATACATCCCCAAAAAGACATACCTTGTTGTCATCTAATGCAGGAACCTCGACGACTGGAGGACTGCGACAAGGGGAAGTAGTAGGTCCTACACGCATGCGGATGCGATCCCAAGGAGAGTGCAGAAGCACGGTGCTTTTGGAAGGGACAAACATGATGGTGATGGGTACTGTAGTTGCGACAGATGTCATGGAGGTCATTGTTGGAGTCGTACTGGTCGTTGGAGGGGTAGTTGAAGTTTGCGCATGGTCTTCCGGTACGCCTCGAGCGATACGCTTGATGTGTACGAAATCGAACGATTCGTTCGCGAATGGAAGACCCTCGAGGCTATGGGAGTCAATGATGAGGATACAGAATGGATGGGTGAATACATTAATTGCCTCGAAACCCAGCTTACTTTTCTCATAAGGTCCATGTTTCTGGAGGAGACGTGCAAGGTCGGTGAGGAGAGATAAGATATCGAAGCCTGCAAGTGCTTCTCGCAAGTGGCAAGGGCAGGACCGACCACCGACGACTTCGCAGCCTTTCCAGTGCTTGGCAGCCTCAATTAATACCCATACACTGCTCTCGCAGCCTACATCCAATATTCTCTTGAGGGGGTCCTGTGGAGGTGGCTGGTTCTAGAATTGCGGAAATGCACGCCAGGTCAAGGAACCGCCGGTCATTTGGCGGGTCAGGAGGGTGTCGATGGCGTCTCTGGATAGAGGTGAGTAGATATCAAAGAAGGAGATGGGCACGTACAGATCTACGACCTTTCATTGATAACTCCTGAGAAAAGGGACTTCCTGGCGCTTGAAACGGTGATGCATCCTGCAGGGGGTATCGAACTTGCACTCTTGAGGTTGGTGGAAAGCTGCGAACGCATCTCCAAAGAATCAAAGGAGTTCTGACAGACTAACCACTTCAGGTAAGGCGTTTGGTTGTACCTTGAAAGGGTGTATGTACTCGCCTGAGCGCGGTAGTTTGAAGGGGTCGAAAAGGGAAAAGCATGCAACTCCTATGGGCCAACGCTACCAGGTGCTACACCGGAAAACACAGGGTACGGTGACTCGAAAAGTTCGCCGTCCGTAGGTTCGGTGTCTTCAAGCTCTACTTGAATCCCTACGCGCAATTGAAATTAAACCGTCCGGAGAAAAGAGCACACTCACATCGATCATCAAAGCCTGATCCACGATAACGCCCAGGACTCTCTCTGAAAGCTCGCAACAATACTCGGCTACATGCAGCAAATTTCGTATATAAGCTGTATGTGCAGCTTGTGGCTCCCGTTTGTGGAGGAAGTTTCATACGAGAAGAGGAGCCGGGGATGATGGGAGAGTTGGTACAAGGTTTGAGAGATGTTCGGGAAAAGCATGTTATCGATCATAGGATGCAGCGGTGATAGTTGGTGATTTGTTTTCCTGGATCTAGCTTGCATGAATTGTGAAAGTCGTGCTCGCTGACGAGACGCTCGTTAGGACCACACTTCAGGCGCCCGAGGGAGGCAAAGTCGAGATAGATGGTAGCGTTACGGCCCTGATTGGGTTGTTGGGACTGGCGCATCACCTGGCCGAGGAGGAATTTCTCAGACGTCGAATCCGATACCGTCGTCAGGCCCTTGACACGAAATTGGAAGCCAATGTTGAACGTGTTCCTATAGGGCGGGGCGCTTCAGTAAGATCGCATGTCAAGTATGCACACGCAGAGAGCGACAGGACGTGAAGACGTACCAGTTCTGGCCCATGTCTGTGGAGCATCACAGCCAACTCTGCCCAGCCACCCACAAGGACATGAGGCGCGAGATATTTTTGAATCAAGAATCATATTCATGGCCTGTATGGACGACAGACACTATTAAGTAGGGTGCGGTATTGATGCGGCAGGGTACGGTACGATGCGGCAAAATCCGAAGGCCCCTCAATCAGTGCATCATGTGATTTTTGGACTCCGAAGTTGCTCGCCGCTCTGCACGACTTCAAGCTATCTTTGCATTGAAGGCACGATTTGTGTTGCTTCCGAAATTCGAATATATCTTTAAACGGTGTGTATGTCTTTTCTGTCTCGTTTAGTGTGCATCTGTTCATTTTAGGGCTTCATGCCCGATCTTAGGTGCCTTCCTGTTGGTGCGCATGCAGCCTTCAAGTTAGCTTTATGACATTGCTTCATCCTGCTGCGGTGACCGGCTATTCTATCATCGTATGTTCTCTAATCTCCATGCAGAACATTCATACATCGCCCCATTCTAAATAGAAACTCCTCAAGTTCGCCTTGTAACTCTCTTCGTCAGCCAGGCTTTCACCACCAATTATAAGTTGGTCTCGTCCGCGACCGTAATGCGTCACTGCGCCTTGACGTCGTACGATGCAGAACATACGCCAAAATCGAAGTTGTCGATCGAGTTAACTCGGTACTGCCAAGGGCATTCACGTGTTCGAGCATTAACCATTGAACGCACAGGGACCTTCTCATAGGTTGGTCTGTTCAGTTCACCTCGCTCACTCAGTTTACTGCCTACCACAATTTCTTATTGATTAATAAGACCACGTGTGGATGAAGCCCCCTCAATCCCTTTACCTCAGTCTGGCGCCCTTCCAAGCCACACGGGGCAACTGAGCCCGCCACTCAGTCCCGATCCCGATCTTTCATCTGGACTCGAAATTTATTTAGTATACTACGCAGACGGCATCGATAGGACATCCGGTTGCAAGAGGTCAAGGTCCCTTGCACAGCGGGCAAGCCTGTGCGTTTTTTTCTCTTTCATAGTTCTTCTTTATCGCTGACTCCTCGCACAGAGGAACTACCACGCAACAAAGAAGAAGCCAGCTACCAGCTCATCTCGACCTCCCAATACTCATACCACGCAACAACCCAGCGGCACTCATTATACCACTCAAATATTGTTCACCACCGCTGTAGTCTGATGCAACTCGTCGTCCTGCTGCTGGGCGCCGCAGACCACCAATATTTGCCATTCCTATGGTGCAGAGACCTCTGCCTACAATAGATCTGCGACAACCCACTTTCGTTCGCCTCAGCCAACCTCTTCGCTTCTCTCCTCACACGAACCCATCATTCCCTGCTGCTTGAGTTTCTCAAAATCTTCTGCATCGACTCTTGCTTGTTGCTTTTGCGAAATTGCGTGTCAAACCTTACTCCGGGCGTCTTGACCTCGGACGGCTTGCCAACTGCCTACAATAGATCTGCGACAACCCACTTTCGTTTCGCCTCAGCTAACTTCTTCGCTTCTCTCCTCACACGAACCCAGTGCACCATGATCAATCTCGTGATCCCTTAGATGTATGTGTGTATGTCTCTTTCTCTTGTTTATTTCGCATTTGATGCGACAGTTGCAGTTCTCTGCTACCTTGCCCCTGCCCCGTCCTCTCTCTGGGCACACCTCAACCCTGGGACGCTCACATGAATTCTGGCGAGAACGCGAGTTTTTATTAAACTGTTATCACACTTTTGACTAATGTCTTTCAGTCTCGATCACCGCCAACCACTCGATCGTCCGCCACCCCACCCGCCACATTCGCAGCACGCATAACCCACCTATCATCCTGGTGGCCTGTTCGTGGAGGTCACGCGGAGCCCCGCATCGTTGACGTTTCTCTCGCGTAGGCTAAAGAGGCATGTTCCGTTCATTTTCTCGTTTTATCCGACGTCTAATGTATGAATTTACAGCGCAACGCTGTTGCGGGTGAAGACGACGATGTAGTACCCGATGAATATCTTGATCCTCTCACCGAACCCTGATTCGCAACGACCAGCTACTACAATACAGCCTGCCACAGGAGAGCATGGGGACGACCGGTCATGTTTCTGCTTCTAGCGTTGTGATGTTCATTTCGTATAATTTAGTATTATTCACTTGCATTCAGCATTCTATGGATGTGGGTACGAAACACATCCGACGTCATATCCTCAGCTATGTATTGTTTGCCATTCTGTACGAAGATGCGCTAGATTAAGTAGCGTCTATCCAGCGATCATTTTTCTGTACGACGCCTTCAGTCCCTCGCGGCCCCTCGCACGTCCAGCTCAACGCAACCCAAAGTACTCGTCGTGCCAAAGATTCACACTCTACACCTGACGTGAAATCACAAATTTAAAGACTATGCTTCATGGGTCTTCAGTCAACTTCGCAAAGATGACTTGTCTCTAGGTCCCGGATACTACCTCGTCTCCCTCACATTCAAATACATCCCCCCCGAACTCACCTCCACAGGTAAAGGTGACTCCTTCATCTTCTACTGCGATTACATCACGACTATCTGGCATGCAGAATCGTTTCTTCTCAGCATTCGTGGCGGCAAGCCCAAAGCGGGAGAGATTTTGCAGCCGGATATCATGAGTATTGGAGTAGCTGCGACCGAATAAGCGACCGAGAAACGTGCTGCCTGACGGTGCCAAGGAGCGAGGACGACGTCGTGCAGAAGACTAAGAACGCGGAGGTTAAGAACGCAAAATCGAAATGATAGTGACAACATACATGTGAATGATCTGCAACGAAAAAAACCTTGGGGGGATCATTATTTGGTTAGGTTAGCTATTGCTTCGAAGTATATCAGCAAGACCATTCTCATGGCAAGGATTGCATTGGCAGCTGACCTTGACGCCCATGATGCACTCGGAGTTGGATTTGGCTCTCGCATACCACGTCTCCTTGTCGTTAGGACAACAGTTCAGGCGCCCGAGGGAGGTAAAGTCGAGATAGATGGTAATAGCGTTGCGGCCCTGATTGGGTTGTCGGGACTGGCGCATCACGACCTGGCTGCATTCTCGGCTCTCTTCTCTCCCAGCCGAACCACTTCGACAAAAGCAGACATCGGTGCTTTGAGCACAGCAGTACCGATGATATCCTCTAGGCACTCGAGTAGTCCGTCGTGGTGCTCAGAAGTGCCTTCAGGCTTCATCTGCGCGATAGACTTGACTTCACCCTGCAGGATAATGAAACACTTGTGCGTGAGGTCGATTCCACGCCCCTGGAGAACCGTCTGGACCTCGGTGTACGAAACCGGCCGTGAGTTAAGGGTGTGCCGAGAGGTATTGAATTTGGTCGCTGTGCATGCGACAATGAGCGAGGAGTTAGGGACGGCACTGTGTGTGTCGGCTCCAGGCTGGGGGTCCGAATAGATTAGCTCAGTTCGATTAGATGAGTGAAGGTACATACACATCACGAAATCGGCCATGAGACGATTTTAATTGATATTTCTGGCAAAATCAAATCAAATATCGACATATTATATCCAAATACATAGTCTACAATATATAATCTTATGATGACCTTGGAGTGTCGTCCACCCGCGTGCGTCTCGCGTGGTTCTCACGTGTGCTTACTTAATCAACCAACTTCGATTTATATTATTAATTACATAATGTAATGTTTCTGGATATTCTATCTTCACTTCCAAGTTTCTTCAAGTCGACTTCTTGATTTCGCAGAGACAAGTACGAGAATACTGTTAGCATCGTTACATACCGACCCGCCCATTCATCCTGCCTCATAAACTGCAATGATGGCGATGGGTGACTGGTATAACAAATAGAAACTTGAAAATGAGATACCTTCAGTAGATCACTGGGACCAGACTTCATATGCGCACTGATCTGTAAGAGAATATTAATCGCTCCTTAGTCACGTACTAAGTGGCACCCCGAAAAAGGACCCCGAGAACCCCTCGAGATCAACGCACCCAACGGTGCTAACACCGCCCAACGGCGTTGCTGCCGACCTCAAGGCCATCCCAAAAGTCCCTCAAAATCATCAAACTCTCATCCTTTAGATACATATTTCCTAGTTTTTAATACTAACATGCCTCCCAGAAGGTTTAGCACCGGGGCCGGAGCAAGTCAACCCAAAGCCCACTCTCCAACCCCACCCAATGGTACCAATACTCGCAGAACCACCAGGAATCCCACCACGGTGGAAGAAATAGAAGCATCACAGAGCTGCGTCATTGACACCGAGAGTGCGGAGAAATTTTTATCAACCAAGCTTCTATGTCAAGAAGGACAGCCATACTCAGCGGTTCACCTCTCCACCATTCTATTTCATATTACCCAGATGTCATCAGCAACCCCACTTCCGGTCAACACAGCTATCCGCGCAGTGGCATTCCTGTTGAAACGACACGTGGCATACGGGATTGCGGAAGTTGCTGCCAAACACCTCTCCGATACGTTGGCTCCACAAATCGTCGACCATGTCATTGCCGCCATCGCTCCCCAAGTCGCGACTGTCCACAGTGCCTCTGAGACCTTGTCCCTGACCATCATGCAAGCGAAGGAGATACACCACTCC